CCACTGCCATGATACAAGTATAATTTGAACAGCCTCGCTGCTGTGCAGAGTCTGGCGTCTGACACTCATTTTCAAGTGCCATACATTGTTGGGAGCCTGATCCTTGTGCTGTGGCCTGGCTTCTCTGTCACTGTCAGGTCATGAACTCTTACCTAGTCGTTCTAAATTTTCTCATCCTCAGTCTTTGGGGCAGTTTATTCAGAATATTACCAACATATATTGTTGACATTTGTATGTACACAAAACCCTCCCGCCAAACGCCCACTGACAAGCTGAGTCCCCCGGTTACTTGTACCCACCAAAAGCCAGTCTAAATAAAAATGTTACGTTGCTTTTTTGTGAAATTCTTAAGCTCTGAACAGCGTCTGGATGAGGCAGTTGAGCATTATTAAACAGGGAAAGGTTTCTGTCTTGCAGCTCCTACTCCTCTGTATTTCATTTCCTCATTACCTGTGTGGTAATAGCTTCTCTACCCATTGTTTGAGGCAGGGGCAGCCATAGTGTCTTTTAGACTCCATTCTTTACACAAGTGAGTTCATGCCTCTGTAGTGAGTATTACTGTAAGAGAAACAACAGTGGTTAAACAAAGGGCTGCTTGTATTCAGCTATTAGAAAATTGGGCTCTTTGAATAACACAACCTCTGCTGGGCACTTCGGAAAAACTAGCTGGTGTTCAGCCTTTTCTTCCCCCCCCCTTTTTTTTGGCTCATTGCGGTAGAATGTGGGAGTGCCACAAGAAGACACTAGAACATCAACTTAGTAAAAGGAGTGTGAAATTCCTACCTTGAATCACCAGGTAATGGGGCAGTGGCTCATCTCTCTAGCATTCCAGTGAAGCAAATGGCAAACAGCTATTTTTGATCCCTGGACAAATACTGCTTCTGACAAGGCTTAATGGAGCTTAAGGGGCACGATTCTTTGCCTAGCTTATGAGATACCTGCCGTCTGTTTGGTTGTAAATGAAGATCACTCCAGACCAACAACCACACTTTTATGTTGCCGCTGCTTGTATTACTATTCCGTAACTTGAGGTGATTGTGGATGGGTTGACTTTCACACCTAACTTCATCAAGTGCAGACAAAATGGATCTGAACAAGTCACTTGTTTGGGGCTGTTGTAACAAGTCTGTATTTCTCCCACAAACAACGTTACCGGCCTTCCTTCCCCCAACCATAGCTTCCTCTTTGTTGTCCTGCATAGATATCGTGTTAGAATAAACATTATTTTAAACTTTTAAAAAAGCCTACTGCTTTGTGGCCTCAAATTAAATAAAATAGAAGTGTTTGTTCTGTAAGCACAACAGTAAGATTAACTGTCCTGCTACAGTTATCGTTAATGTGGGATCCTTTAAGTTCATTGTTCTGGATTTTGAATTACTAAGTTAAAGGATCCAATATTATTTTCTCTCTTTACATAAGGGGTGCCATTTGAGGTGGTGTCAAAGCCACATGTTCTGACTCGACCCCAATATCCCACTTCCCCACAGAGTGGGAGGTGAGCAGGGACTTTAAAAAGCCTAACTGCAGCTAATGTGAGAGTCTAGGTGTGAGTGGATGATGTGTGTGTGTGTGTGTGTGTGTGTGTGTGTGTGCGTGCACGCGCTCCTTAGGTGTGCAGAGAGAGAGAGAGAGAGAGAGAGAGAGAGAGATTGGGAGAACATAATGGTTTCACAGACTAACGTAGACCTTGCTTCATGTTTTGCTTCTTGGCACACACTTCCCACGAAGTCAGGGAAGTTATTGGTTGAATAAAAAATCCTTATCCACACCCTAAGAAAACAGGTAGAGTGGTGCTTTCTGCAACGCAGGAAGAACATGTAGCTTGAATTTTTGACTCTCAGGACCTCTAGGCCGGAGTTATTGGAACTGAAGATAAGAAGCTGGAATTCTTAGGGCATACCTGTGTGGGTGTTTGTCGGAGCTGTCATTACACACTAAGTGTGTGGGTTTAGGAAATTGCCTTGCTAGGTTTGGGGACAGTATGCAGCTGGAAGGGCCTTGTCTAACATGTACAGACTACAACTGCTACACAGTCACCATAGAGAATTTCAAGATAATTGTGTAAGAGGCTCCTCGTTAAAAGCATTTAGCTACCTTCCATCCTCTGTTTTCGTTTTGCAAAGCTCTCAGTCACTTCTTAATTATTTTGCATAACATTTAAAAGGCAAGTCATACCTTTATTAAAAACACTGGTTGTTGTGAAACTTATGTGACACGAACCACTAGGCATTTTGTATCATTCTGTCTCCTTACGTGGAATCTTTAACCGTTCCTCCACAGTCAGTATAGGATGGCAGAGAGCATCAACGCGTCCTATGGATAATAACAAACAGTATTGCATTTCAAGGTGGTTTGTATCTATGGTTGAAGGAGTGAGTTGGCTAGGTTCAGACTGTTGAATTTGGTTATGTTTTGGTTTTTCTTTTAACTGAAGTAATATTTGCATACAGCTTAAAAAGGTTTTTGAATGATTCTAAAAATACATCCTCTTCTGGGAAAAAAAGCCTCATTTTTAAATGTTCGGAACACTGACGCATGTTTACTTGCAAACTTTAAAGAAGGAAAAACACACACAGTTCTTCCTTCATTTTTGAGTTTTTGGTATGCTTTCAAAAGCAAATATCCAAATATCCCTCTTCCAACAGAACGTTTTGCCTTGGGTCTGCTAGTATCCATTCTTTGCGATGGAGGAGAGCTGGAGATGAATGTTTCGAAGTGGAAAATTCCATGAGAACATAGAGCATTTTTAACATCAAAGGAAACAGCCTGCGTAATTATCAGCTGGTTTCTAAAAAGGAACAATTAAGCAAGTTGGGCGTGTTTCGCAGCTGTTGCTGCTTGGACTCCAAATGGAAAGAATAGGAGGTGCTCAATTTTGGGGCCTTTCGTGGTAGAGCTCAAGTTCCCTGAGTCTCAACAGTTCTGTATCTGTGAAAATAGCACTAGTGTTACAGAACGTCACAACCTAGTGGTGTGGAATAGTGTCTGCAGCATTGATTCTCAGTCAGTAGCATGTGTACCACCATTAGGACACAGAAGCAGTGTAGGTGTGACACAGAGTTTTCATTTAAATTACCCTGTAATTTTTTGGTTTTATTGGAAGATGAATTAGTAGGATGAAAGTGTCCTTTTCAGAATAAGTGTCAAGACCCATGGTTTTGACTCAGGATCTTTGATAGGGTGATTCGTGCGACTTGAGATACAGAAGGCCGAGAATCACTTGATTAGAGACCTAGCCATGAAGCTTGCTCAGTAACCTTCAGCTGGTTACTCTTAGGCTGAAACCTCACCCCCGTTTAATGCAAGGCCAAAGTTAGGATGCAGAGAGAATACCAACCTAACCCCTTCGTGGAACGTAAGGATGGAAATAGTTTTTTTTTCACTTGTAGTATTCCATTTATTTGAATGCTTTCCTGTTGGAAACCCACCGTTCATGGTGTTTATTTTGATTTCAGATTAAAGCTTGGCTGTTCACTCATGTATTTGAGCCTTCCGAGAACATGGCTAAGGATTCATTCTAGCCAGTTGTAGGTTGTGTTTCATCTCGAGATGTTAAACTATATTAAATTTTTGAATTGACTTAAGCTGCTTAAAATGGTGTTACTGGTCATATCCCGGTCAAAAAGCAGGTGGTGTAGGACAGGTTAGAAATACTCTAAAAAGTAAACCAACAAAGTGACATAACAAATAAATAACCAGCTGTGCACTTCAGAGGACTGAACAGCCTTCAGGACAGGAGTTGTTTTCACAACCGTGCGTTCTTTCTTCTTCAGTGCCTTTTCCGCGTATCTTCTTTCCCCCAGTTGGCTGAATTTGTAGTGTAAGGACAAGCCGTATGAATTGCATGATTTCAAGGTCCTGATTCATCTACCCATCTTCTGCATCTTCATTTCAGGGTGGTATGGCAAACAATTCTACCTGGACTATTGAATAATTAGATACAAAACTCTTTCCTGCTCTCAGTACCATCATCATTTTGCTACACCTTTAAGTTCTGTGGTGTACAGAACTTAAGTCTCTGGGTTCCCCGCCTAATAGACACTGAGTCACCATTTATTCCAGACAAAACTTTTCTCCATTTTCTGCCACAATCCTAAGTATATTTACACAGAAGTTAGTCTCATTGGTTCAGTGGAACTTTCCCCTTAGCAAAAGTACTTAAAGTTGCAACATTAGACTATTAAGTAACATCACTAAATGACATTCTTATTGGTTTAGTGGGAAATTGCAGGAAATTTTCTGGCTCCTTTTTTCTTGTGCTTTCAGAACTTTATGGAGACTTGGAAGATAAATCTCCCATTAGCATTTCAAACTTGCGCTCTGCAGTAAATTGTTTATAGATCCTAGACAGAATTTTAATAAATACTTAGTTTGTCAATGATGATCACTTCCCTCCAGTTTGTGATGCCTTGCTGTTGCTGTGACAGGCTGACGGATTGTTTTGTGTTGTTCTTCCTCTGCTTTTAATTACTGCTGAGGTTCTTAAAGCTCTCTGCACAGCTATGCGCCTGTATTCCCTTTCAGCAAGGTGTGTCGGATGTGTTCCATGACTGTAAATAGAAAGGTTGTCATCTAGAGTTTCAGAACAAAGAGGCAGTAGCTTGTGTAGATTCTTGTCTGTTTTAAAACAAAGCAATAAACATGCTAAAAGTACCTTCCTTGTTACCATTGTTGAAAATAGATATGGTAAGGATTTCTTCACCACCATCTTGCAATTTTATCTTCATTTTCTGTCAGGGGCAGACATATTCAGAATTTCACACTGGATTAAAATAACAAAACTTGAATATGCACTTGTAATATTATATATAAATGATGGGAATATGTGCAGTATAGCTTAACCTGAAGAGTTTTTAAGGTATACAGTATATTCTATTCTGGGCATTCTTTGATGTCAAAAGCAATGTGTTTAGCCTGATTTTAGATGTACCTGTAGATTAAAAACAAGGCAGAAAGTTAATCACTGTATTTGTTTTGTCTCCCCCATGGCATTTCTTCAGAACCACAGAGCAGACCCCGAGGAACTTTTCACAAAACTTGAACGAATTGGGAAAGGCTCATTTGGGGAAGTCTTTAAAGGAATTGATAATCGGACACAGCAGGTGGTTGCCATAAAAATCATTGACCTTGAGGAAGCAGAAGATGAAATAGAAGACATCCAGCAGGAGATCACTGTTCTAAGCCAATGTGACAGCCCATATGTAACAAAATACTATGGCTCCTATTTAAAGGTAATATTTCTATCTATCTCTATATATATATATGCTTTGTGTTTGTGCGAAAATGCAATTTTAAAATAAGCAAAACCAGTCTCCTGACACGTGGACTATAGGAATGCCTATAAAAACCAATTAAAAACAACATGTCAACCTGACCACTTTTGGTGGTGGTCAAGGTAGACTTTGAATGTTGTTCATTGCTTCTGTTGCAATGTTCATGCCCTTTCCATCCCCACCAGAACATTCAGCTCTCTTGAAGGTGCAAGGATTGAATATCAGCCATTCTGATGGAATAGGAGTAAAAGTGGCTAGCTGTGTAAAATGAAATTCATCAGCACTAACAGATATCTTGAAAGCAATGAATTAGACCTGCTTTGTATAATGAGGGGCGTAAACAAGTTGCATTTCAAAGGTAATGCACCAAGCCACATTGAAGTTACCATATCGATGTAACAAGAGAAAGTTTCTAGTTACTTTCAAATGTTATTTTTAAAGGACATTTTAAGACATTTTTGAGTGGCCTTTTGATAGGAATTTGTCCGGTTTATGCCGCTCTGTTATCAGAGACTTTTTAAAAGTCTACTAAAAATTAACAGAAGAGCAAGGAGCCACAGAATAAGTGATGTGACAAGTTGCTTTCTCGTTATCATAGTGAGTAGTGACTTTTTCATATACTGGGAATGAATTGCTCTTAAGGTGATGTCCAATTTCCTGGCTTGTTATCTCTCCTGTGTTGCTTTCTGCCCCCCCCTTTTTTTTAAGTGCTTGAACTTCAGTTTGATTAAGTGTTTGAATTCCAGTGCCTGAAGTCTTCCCAGCTTTGATTGGGAGTGTCTGGGCAGAACATAGAATGTACATCAGAGCTTTTTGCTATTGCCTCCTTGGAAGAGTTCCAGATAGTACTAACTGCCTGTGCAGACCTTCGTTGCTTATTTTGAAGCTCAAGGTGGGCAGAGGAGGTATTTCAGCCTTGAGTGAGATAACTAGATTGGAAGCAAAAATCTCCCCATTAATGCACTACAGCTAGATGTGGGTTCCTGTAAGGGACACTTATTCTGTCACCCCAATAGCTACAATCAAATACTTCCATTAAAATCAAACTCCCTTTCAGCAAGGACTGTATTTTTACAACAGGCAGTAGTGCTAAGTCCTGTTCAGTAAAGATAGCGTAGGACCTCAGTACAAATTGAGAATCTCTTCAGGGAGGTAATGATAGAACAAGATGCAAGAGAACATTGACGCTAGACATCTGTGCAACTTCACAAGTCATTATTATGTATAGAAACAAACTTCAAACACATCATGCAGTCTTAACCATTGATCAGGCCACCATCCCCCTTGAAGGCTCACTGCATCAGCGTGAAGGACTTTTATTTCACACTGAAATCGTATTACGCATTTGGCCTCTCCTTTGTGCTAGAGATTCAGGCACATCCCACGTCTTCTGCTTTGCAGACAGGAGGCTATCTTAGCATGTAGCAGCTTGCAAGAGGTGTTCTTGGAAACCCAGGCAAAAACTATACACACCCAGTTTATAGTAGCAACGTCTTTGAAGAATTATTGGGAAGACACAGCACATTTTTTGCTGCTCTTTAGACCTTTGCAAATTCTATTCTAGCCATCCAAAGGTAGCTTGTATGACCAGCCACACTGTTTTGCCTGTGAATGAATGCTTTTTTGCAAGGTGTTTTTTTTTTACCAGCACAGTTGGACTTTGAAAGAGATGCTAAAAGTGGCAAACGTTTTCCCCACCCCAATTTCCAAACATTGGAATGAACACTCATGGTATAAATGGAGTCTATATTCCTTCAGGGTTCTTAACAAAGTCTGCTCTGTGCAGTGGTTTGACCTGAGATATGGATATCCTGTGCCTCTGTTTGCTTGTTCAGTTCCAGGCTGCACTCAGGAAATGGTGTTGGGTTAAGACTCAACCTACAGTGAGAACCCTCATCTGAAAATTACTTTCATTTTGGCATTAGCAAGCCCTACAAATTAAGGTATTGAGTATTCTGTTAGTCCAGCCGTGCTGTCTGGGAATACTGGCAGTTATACCCCAGCACATCTGGAGGGCAGCGTGCCAAGAAATGCTGTGTTCGGCGTACTTTTTTACTTGGAAAAAAAGGATACTTATGCAATACACAGATCTCTTCATTTGGAAGTGGAAAGCTGGAGGCTCTCAGTTATATAAACAGCAGAACTTGCTTCAAATGCAAATATCTTGTGTGAGCAGAGCCTTATTTAATGAGATTAAAATAGCTTTTTATTAGAGTCGTTCAGCATTCACTGCATAGGATATGAGCATTTGTGAGGCACAGAACTGTTCTTTCCTCAGGCTAAACGCTCAGGTGGAGAAAAGAGAATCAAAAGTTAGTTATTGCTCAGCTAGTCTTCTGCCATTCCCTGTGTTTCATGTTCTTCTAGTAAAATATACTAATTGTAATCATCACCTTGTATGGTCATATAATGCAGTACATTTATAATAATTATGCCAACCCTGTTTTTTCCCAGGGTTTTCTAGGTATCAAGTACTCAGAAGTGGTTTCCCATTCCTTTCTTCTGGGGGGGGGGGTCCCAGCCTAGGTCTCTGAGCTATCCAGGCAGCTAGCATAATATAATATAATCAATAAAATGCATAGGGAGAGCTACTGGCTAGGTCTCTGGCATTGACCTTAATTCCCAGGAAGACTTATGTGGAAACTTTAAAGACTAGAGCCAGCATTTTGAATTGACCCCAGAAGGAAAAAGGAAGCGCAAGGAGCTGCTAAAAGGTCGGAGCTGCTAAAAGGTCAGAGCTACATGCTTTGACCTTTGAGCCCCAGACAAGGGTCAGGCTGTTCCATGTGGGGCCGATTTATGTTGCAGTAATTCCAACTATAGATCTCTGATCCATGACTGAGACCAAGACCACAGCTAAGTTTCTTTGCCAAGGGCACTTTCTTGCTACCACCAGTTTCTTGCAGAAACCTCCAATATTTCCAAATGAAATTCCTTCACAATTTTTGTGTTAAGGTCATGTGTCAGAAACAGTCTGTTTGGGCAAAGGTGTAACCTGATTAAAGCATCTCCATTGCCACCACATTTATTTTATAAATAATCATGGTTACAACATGACAGTTCTAACGGAATTTGCTGAGAAATTATTATTATTCCTCAGCCATAAAGTTTTGTGTACTGTGTTAACACAAGATATTCTTCCAGTAGTCTTATCACCTAACAACCATGAGCAGCAGCTGCTGCTGTTGTTGTTAATAAAGATAGTTGATAAGGAAGTTCAGATATGATACCAGCCAGATACCCTTTTTTTCTCCTAGTTGCTGTTTAGGCTTGTAGGTTGCAATCTTTCCCAAAACTGATTTTCTTCCCCAAGTGTTCCTTAATTTTTTTTTTCATAGTGGATTCAAAAAATGATTGTTTGATTCTCAAAATATTAGAAAACGCTTAGGAAATGGTCTTTGGTGAAACTATAGCAAGCAGACATTATTATCAAATAAACAAGCACACTAATGTCAGCAATCTTATTTAGTACATCCTTAAAATACATGATTTTGTTACATCTAATGGTGATAATGATTTAAATAGATATATTTTAGCGGTATTCATTGATGCTTCTATTTAACGGGGAAAACAACCGCTGGTCGCAGCTTTAACAAACCAACTAGAGTAGCCATCACTATTCTTCTATTTAGTTTGTTTATGTATAGGTTATGGCTTTCTTCTTTGAGATTTATGATGGAAGTGGAATTGTTATTACACCAGTTTGTTTAGCCTGGGTTTTTATTTTTTTTCTAGTCAGGACAGGGTTCCCCCCCCCCCTTGGGATGCAGGCATGCAATAAGAACCTTGGAAGATAAAGAATCAGTCGTATACATGGAGAGACGATTGCAGTTATGACAGGAACGACAGCAATGATCCTTAAATGAATTTTCATTGCGCCATTATTCTGTCAGCAATTTACACATTTTGGAGGATGAAATACGATGAAATGCTGGCATCGGTCTTTGCCCATCTTTGGAACCAGTGATACTGTCTGAATGTGTGAGCTTTCCTTTAGGCTACCAAACCAACAGCTGGTATACTTGACATGGTAGGAACTTGTGTGACAAGAGACAGTGCCCCCTTTTCCGTTGTTACTTGTAGCCCTTTTCCCTTCTAGACTGTAGGCAGATAATTAATGGGGAGCTTGAAACCTGTTACTCCTCTGGCCCGTCCCTATTATTCTTTGCTCTCATCATCTCCCAAATACACTGTGCTCCTGATAATCCACCCTCAGCATCTTTTGCTCTTGGTTTGGTTCCCTTCATCTGTAGGGTTCTTCACAGGTAACATGGCGTAAACCAGCCGGGAGGTTCTTCTGGTTGCAGAGTATTCAAAAAACGCAGAGGTAGTACAAATGCTGCTTTGCTTCTCCTTGCGCATCCATCTTTGCGCCCGACGTGCATTTACAAAGCTGTGGGGTCAAATCCAAAGACAGCGTTGGGCAGTGCTTTTATTTTAAGGAAAAGATGCACTAACGTCTTGTGAAGAGTCTGACTCTTGATCTGAATTCTTTTTTAGGGCACAAAATTATGGATAATAATGGAATATTTGGGTGGGGGATCAGCGCTGGATCTGGTAAGTATTCCAATTATTTGCAGCATTTCTGCGGTTTAATTCCAGCTTTCCTTTTTATTATTACTAGGAGTGCTGTTTCTTTTCTTAGTAACTCATGTACGTGTGGTCCACTCAGTCGTCACTTAGTCATAGCTTTTTCACTTAATATAGCCCTATCTACAAATAACCTAAATATCCATGTTTGGAAGAAATGTAGGTTCCAGGCATTCTTTACACTAGACAAGTCTCATTATTTTCCCAGCATTGGACCCCTGAGCTAACACGTCCTTCGTGTCTTACTAATGATGGGGATTTAATTGCACTTTAAAGTTTGAGGTGTTGTTGAAATTTCTCTAGATTGCAACGTTCTTTGAGGAAGGGACCTGATACTATTTTATAAAGTGCCATCAGTCATGGATATTAATGTGTATGTCCTTGCTAGTTACACAGCTGTGCTTTCCATTTGGGCAACTGTGATTTTAAGTGATGTGCCAAGTGAGTCAGCATCTGGGCAGAGACCAGAACTCCTCAATCCAAATCAAACATGCTTTCTCCCAGTGCAAACTGACTCTCTTGCAGCAGAGTACTCCTATTGACTTAATGACTACAATGTACACTTATGTCTAGTTGTAGATGAACTTGATTATAGCCTGTCTGCCGCCTTTCTTTGGTTGTTGTTTTTTAAAATAACACACTGAAGTCTATACAGTAGTACAGGTTGCTTTTTAATAGGAGTAAGCCTGGTGTCATTGGTAAACCAGAAATGTGGGCTGTTCTATCAGTTTTAAATACACAGAAATGTTTCCTTTGGAAGCTTTTCCTGGGAGTGTCCTGTAGAAGCAAGTCACAGTTAGTTTTCAGCGTTAAAACTGACCTCGCTTTTCCATTTTGGGCAGTTTAAATTTAAACCATGAAAGAGGTCTTTGCTTGTGACAGATGCATCGTTCATAATGGGTGTCACATGGGAGGGGCTAAAAAAGCAAATAGCTTTGGGTGGTGGTGTGTGGTTTCCCCCCCTCCCCCAAGTCCAGCTCCACCACAACCCTGTAGAGGAGACCCACCCTTTTCCTGTGAGATAGCACTGCCCAGTTTTTACGCTTGTGAGACGCCGAAATTATTAGCAGTGAACTTTGTGACATTTTTTGGTAAGCTTCATAGGAAACCATGCCTTATCGCTAGAGTTGTGGCATCTGTTGAGAACAATCTCTCTTTTACAGAACTAGCTCTCTGTTCACCCCTAAGAGATGTCTCCTGCTCCTCCCAACAGGAATTGAGAAATTCTTTTTGCACTCCTGTGCCAAGTGCCTTGTGGGTTGATGGCCAGGTGGGGCTAGGTGAATAGAGCAGATTTTAGAAGTATATGTGCGTATTATTCAACCACATGACTGAAGTCTTGTCCCAACAGCCAGCATCCCCATAAATGATGCCATACCGGCATTGTTGTTCTGCTACAGATCCACTGGGCATTTGAGATGGATGGCGTCCCCAGAAATGATGCTATACCGGCATTGTTGTTCTGCTACAGATCCTCAGGCAATAGCTTTCAGAGCCATAAGTCAATATTTATTATATTTCTATACCATCTTTTTCCCAGGATAAGGACGGTGCATAATATTTTTCTAAAAAGCGGGTATGAATAGAAGCACAAAATTTATAATGTCAAAACAAATTAAGCAAGTTGTAACGCTTGCTTAGTTGAGCAAAAAGGAATCTAAAAGCACCTTAAAGTGAAGGCCCCCCCCCCACTCCTTAAAGGACATTTTCACAACAACCCCTTCATTACCAAAAACCTGCCGAAATAAAAAAGCCTTTCTCTCCCAGGGGAAGGCACAACAGGTAGGCAGCTAGCTTGGCCTCTCTTGGAAAGGAGTTGAGCAGCCTAAGAGCAGTTACCGAGAAAGACTTCATAAAGACCTCTGGTTCGTTTTCCTGATAATAAAAGGAGAAGTTATGAAATGGAGAGAAATATAATCTTTGCTCATGATACCTACATCTGAATGGATCTCCCCCCTCCCCCCATGTAGTAGGCTGGCTACATTAGAATCTACAGTCTTTACTGAAAATACTTCATTTGTCAAAACAAATGGAATATTTCATTTGGGATAGCAAAGACATTCCCCATGTTTTCAAATTATTTGCGTTCATCTCCTTTATGAACAGCCATTTCCAGAGTCATTGGTGTAAGATATGTGCATGGGACCACTTGACTAGAAACCTTTAAAAAAGTTAAAAGGGTGGCATTTCAAGTTAATGGTAAATGCATCTTAACAAATGGTGACAGCCAAAGTTAAAGAAGAAAGCTTTGTGTCTTACACCTCTTTCCTCCTTCAAGCTCCGTGCCGGCCCATTTGACGAGTTCCAGATTGCGACAATGCTGAAGGAAATCTTGAAAGGTCTTGACTATCTACACTCGGAGAAGAAAATCCACAGAGATATAAAAGGTGTGTAGAAATGTAAACAAGCGTCAGCGAGAGACCCATTCAAAGACTTGTCCTTTCTTAAGCTGAATTGTTCTCTCTTCTCCTTTCAAGCTGCCAACGTACTCTTGTCGGAACAAGGAGAGGTCAAGCTTGCAGATTTTGGGGTCGCAGGGCAACTGACCGATACACAGATTAAGAGGAACACCTTTGTGGGCACACCATTTTGGATGGCCCCTGAAGTCATTCAGCAGTCAGCCTATGACTCAAAAGTAAGACTCTGACATTCTCTGGGTTTTCGAAGTAGCCCATGATCACCATGATTTTCAGGCAGTGTGTAAAAATAACCCTAGACACACACCCTGGTTGTTGTATGATCATTTAACAGTGTGAACATTTTGTGTGTGTGTGTGTCTTTAAATTTTTATGATCATCTGCTTCAAGATAAAAGTTTTAAGCACTGAGGGACTGTAGAGGAAGAGTTCAGAATTCGGTTGGACTGTGAAAAATAGCGGGGGGCTTCCGGTGGTTTTATTAAGTGCTAAAGCCACTTTTTAACATATTGTCACGTTGTCCTGTGTTCAGAACGTTTCAGCTTCTCTCCTGTCCTGACTTAGCCCAAAGACTTTATACTAATGCTGTGCTCTCCTTGAAAAAGCCCAAACAGATCTATAGCCGGAGGGATGATGTGCAAACTTGCATATAGAGTTCTTAAGCAGCAGAGTTTCAGGCCTTCCTCTCGCCTTGCAACAGAGCTGTGATGGTTTCTTTTCTCAGTTTCCTGTCGGGCTCTGTTTCTCACAGTGTAATCACAGCCATCTGGTCGGTTTTGCCCAGAGCCGGCACTTCCACAATTTGTTGTAAGCGTAATCCCAAAGGACATTTCAGCTGGAAAAAAAAACCTTATCCTTTTCCACTTGATAGAAAACTGCTCTTGACAGAATACACCAAATTCTGTGTAGGCAGGCATTTCTATGTTTTGGTTTCACTGGCCATGCTAGCGGGGGAATTCTGGGAGTTGTAGTCTTAAAAAGTAACTTTTATGAGCACTTCCTCCTGTCTGAAACCTGCAGCTGCCAACAGGGGCATCCTTGGTCTTATGATCCTATTGCTGTTCTGCATAGTTGACTCCTGCGTGTGAATGTGATGCTCTCTTTCCTTTTTGTCAACAGGCTGATATCTGGTCCTTGGGAATCACCGCTATAGAACTAGCCAAAGGAGAACCTCCCAACTCGGACATGCACCCCATGAGAGTTCTCTTTCTCATTCCCAAAAACAACCCTCCAACCCTAATAGGAGACTTCAGCAAACCGTTCAAAGAGTTCATCGATGCATGTTTGAACAAGGACCCAACATTTGTGAGTGGCACTTTAAACTAACTCCGTGGTTGGGAAACAGGGTGGCTGTTAGGATGTCCTGTTCTGTGCAACAGAAGAGGGGAGTTAATTACTTCAGATGCTGGGCTGACTTCAAACAGTGGGGTTTTGACACATACCACGATCTCCCTAAGGGAGAGGCGTACAGAGACCACAGTGAACTGAGTAGGGTGAAATCAGCCTCTGTATGCTGGTACCTGATCGAAGATACTCTGAAGTATTTGGTGTACACTCAGCTGATTTAGAGAACGAGTCCTCTAGAAAGGACCTCCCTGTTGAGGAGCGGTGGGCTCCCAGTGTCCTTATGTTTCTTCCACCCACAGACCTGTCTGTTACCCAGGCATTTTCCTGAGTATATTCCTAATTGGCCACAGCTTCCATTTTAGCAGTGGCAATGAATTCTGGGAGTTGTAGTCCAAAAGCACGACTAGGCTGAACTCTACTATTTTAACAGTTGTGATCTAATGACCATTTTAGCAGTGGCAATAAATTCTGGGAGTTGTAGTCTAAAAGCATGACTAGGCTGACCTCTACTATTTTAACAGTTGTGATCTAATGTGCCATCCTGCAGTTACCAAAACTGTGGCCGGCACTGACTCTTTTTATTGTTTTATTTCATTACAAACGTTGGTATCCCACCCTTCCACTATGTACCTGTATTGCTATGAGCAGCTTATAGCAGTTTTTAAAAACAGTAACATCTAACACACTCATGAAAAGTGTAAGAACAGCAGATAAACAGGGAGCAGATTCATCAAGTGAAACCGTATGGTTCCAGATGGGCTGATCAAAGGCTTGGTGGAATGAAAAAAGATGCCCTGGCATTGGGAAGCTGGGTGAGTGGGTGGGTAGGAAGCAGTTTCCTGAGGTAGGCAAGAGCACAATTTAGGAATGTCCCGGAGATGGTATCTTCCACATCCCACCCCGACGTGCCTTGGCCATTGTCAAGACACTCTGAAAATGAACCTTGCTTAGAAGACTGTAAGGCGTGTAAGCTGTATACATGGGAGGAAATGATCAGTGAAGTATTGCAGGTTAAAATGTAATGATAAATTTGATGCTTCTATGTATCTTGCAGCGCCCCACAGCGAAAGAACTCCTAAAGCACAAATTCATCCTGAAAAATGCCAAGAAGACCTCGTATCTAACAGAGCTTATTGATAGATTTAAGCGATGGAAAGCAGAGGGACACAGCAGCGATGAAACGGATTCAGATGGTTCCGATTCGTAAGTCTTGGTTTTAGGTTGCTTGCTGATAAGAACATGAGGCTTTGAAGTGCTCAGCTTAAAAATGTCGTTCTTGTGTTTCAGTGGGTGGATGTGCACCCCCATGTACTCTGGTTTTGGAAACAATAAGACTTTGGCGGAGGGGCTCTCAGCTTTTACCCCTCTGTATGTGTTGGGCTTTGCCTCTGAAAATTCCCAGCCGGGACGACCAGTGGCAAGGGCTTAGGGAAGGCGACAGGAGGGCGAAGGGAGGCAGATGTTGAAAGCCAGTGGTTTGGGGCACTTACCAGTTTGGGGTCTTACCAGTTTTTGACTGCTTTGCTAAGCAGGCCAAAAATAAAATTGGTATCTTTGTGCCTTCAGAAAGAACACACTGGTCTGCATTGACCAGGTTGAGGGTGATTAAGTGAGAAGTAGCCCATAAAAAGATGAGGCAGCCCACCCCTATACATGTGTGGCCTAGATTTTAAGGTCTCATCTAGCACAGAACTGGACTAGGCTGGAGGGAGAAATGGTTATCATGGTGCCATTTCTCCCTGCCATTTGATGCATCGCTGCCTCTAGTCTGTTCATATAAAAATAAACTTTGACTACAGCAACCCTGTGTTTTGTGAAGTTGTGGGCTGTGCCTTGTACAACATCGCCCTGCTCCATGTCCCACCAGGAACAAAAGGAGGCCTGGAGAGCTCGCTCAGTTGGTTAGTGTTTTTATGTCCAGAAAGAATCAGGAGGTAGCCAAGGTCTGTATGTGGAGCATTTATCCTGTTTTTCCCAAAGTATAGTAACCAAAGGCTTGGGAGCGTTGCGGTTTGAGACTAGTTATTCCTCACTGGATCTCAGTATTTCCATCATGGGTACCCCAAGCCTTCTCTGTTCATGTCTTCTAGAAGTTTGTGGTGGATGCCTGATGTAGCAGCACAACTGTCTAAAACAGCTGTTACTGTTTTCCTTTCTTTGTCTGTTAGCGAGTCAAGTAACAAAGAGAACAACTCTCATCCAGAATGGAGTTTTACTACAGTTCGGAAGAAACCAGATTCCAAGAAACTGCAGAATGGAACCGTACGTCCAGCCAGAATCTCCTTCTATTCTCTCAGCTCACTGGAAGCCGTATCAGTCAGAGGAGGGTGACGCTGAGCTGAATCTCATGGTTTCCCCACCTGTGTTGTTGTCTGGTAGTACAGATTGCAGATTAGAACAGGAAGGGGTTCTGTTGAAACACTGGACACCCAAGTGTTCCTATTTGTTGGTACAGTTATGAAGATTAAAATGTATTTTATGGTTGCTGTTATTCCACTTATTAAGGAAGAGTGAGGTTCTGCCCTAAAACATTGTGGGTTGTGCTGATGGATCATTCGGTTTTGTGCAACCCATGTTTACTAGCCCTGCACTAAACCTTTTTAACTGCGATATTGTTTATTTAATCATGTCAGCTATTAGGACAGTTTGCAGGGATGCTAGAGAGCAAGGAAGAGAGGCTGTCTCTCGTGACACTGATCTCTTTGATCAGGGAGGGCCGTTTGCAGGCTTCCAGGTGTTACACTAATCGTCTTAGAACTGCAGAACTGGATGGGGCCCTATTGGTCACAGAGTCCAGCCCTTGCCAAGGAGGCCCAGTGGGGGAATTCAACTCCCAACCTCTGACTCTGCAGCCAGAGACCTAAACCACTAAGTTCTTGGACTCCACCTCCCATCAGCCACAGCCAGCATATCTGGTGGTGAGGAACAAGGAGGGATGCAGTCCAACAACCCCTGGAGTGTCGTCCATTGCCCATGCCTGCCCTGAATATTCATTCCAGTGTGTTTGTCAGTATGTATTTGAGTAGAGCATTTTCTCACTTCCAGGACCAAGAACTCATGAAAACCCTGAGCTGTTTAACCATGATAATCACACCTGTGTTTGCTGAGGTGAGTGTTTTGACCTTCCGGTGTGCCCTGGACACCTACAGTTAAGGTGGCAAATTCCTCACCTTAACGTTGTCCCTTGTGTGTCCCTCTCAGCTGAAACAGCAAGACACCAATAATGCTAGCAGGAAGAAGGCAATTGAGGAACTTGAAAAAAGCATCAATTTGGCAGAAACGGCTTGTCCTGGGATCACCGACAAGATGGTGAAGAAGCTTATGGAGAAATTTCAGAAGTAAGTATGTGGGTTTCAGGTGTTCGCGTGTCGTATTCCTCATAATTGGTCTGGAGTGTCACAGATCCGGACAAGGTACCGGAAGCAACACAGGAGCAGCTGTGTGTGGTCGGAGGAAAGTGGAACTGGTTTGGAAAAGTTCAGAAGGGGAAACTAGGGAGCCGAGAGGGAAATGGAGGGACCAGAGAGTTGGCAGAGGTGGGCAGGCTGGCCAGATAACATTGAGTAAGTGTTTAGAAGGCTGTTCTGCTTGGACATGACAGACTGAACCACTGATCTCCATGCACTTACCTTTTCACAGGTTTTCTGTCAACAATTCCTCCTAGGAAACCCGTGTCAGCGATGCTGTTCCACACGGACTCCGTATAGCCCACCAAAACGTACTATAAGCTTGGCAGTGCTTTGTCCATGAGCTCCTTGTGCCTTTTTGGATGATTGCAGCATATTTGACGAGAGGGGATTTGAAAAGACTCAACTCCACTATTTTGTGATGGGTATACTTGCTTTTTTTGTATTTCCAGGACATTCTTTTTTTTGTAAAGAGCAACTTTTAATATTGTAGTTTTCACCTCTTTAATCCAGATTTTAAAGCATACACACAGAGAGACACACAACAAAATTGGTGAGGCGCTGGTTTGCTTCTTGGTAGAACTTGGGAGCTACGAATTGCCAGTCTCCACATGCAGGATGTGGGGTGTCCAGAATTCCTTGATCTGCACCTCTTTACAGTACTTGACTTCTGAGAAAGGATACGTGCCGTGTGTTTTGATAACATTTTGTTACACTTCAGACAGGACTGGTTGTCTTCTTGTTCCTTTTTAAATGTCTGCATCAGTTAATGGCTTTTCTGAGTCACTTAAAATAGGCTTCAAAATAGCTTTTTTGCAACAATACACATGAGAGCACCTCAGCCTGTAGGGATATTGCTGTGATACCTACAGGAACACCATAGTTCCTCTTTAGGCCTGTAAATGTAACAAAACCTGCAACCATATCAATTATTTTGAAAATGGGTACAGTATTTTAGGCAGCTCTGTGATCACCTACGTTTGAGAGCAATATGTCAGTAGCTGTGCAAGGTAAGATGTAGCGACCGATCTCGTTTAGTGTACAGTTTGTATGTATTACCTTTTAGGGCAGGATTTCAAGTTAGTCAATTCATCATGGTAAGAAATTTTTTAAGCAATACAATTGAGGGCAGAGGGGGCTTTTGGCAATAATGGATACAATCTGGCTTAATTTAAATGTTCCTTTCTTTGTTTCTTTTTTAGAAAACATTGGGGTGGGGTAACTCCTTCTCTGTTTGGGATGGGGGACCTGGGGTTATACCGTGGCATGCAATAAATACCTCACAAGCAGGTATAAGTGTGTGACACCAGCGTTTTGTGTGGTGGTGTTCTTTTCCTGTAAGATATTTATACACTTAGGTTCTTAAAGTAAATTACATAGTGTGCATCACCATATGTTTAATTTCCCCCACTCCATTGTGTATTTTAAATATGTATTTACCAGTTAATATGCAAATAACTGAGTTATAGATATTCTTTCACAAAAAAAGATAGTACTGTGCAGTATGGAGTGGTTCTTTTCATAAAAGGTAGATAAAATTATAAACTTGCTTTCAGTTATATATTTATGGTACTGTTTAGATGGGGTTATATCTTTTTCTCTCTCTCTTTTCAACCCAGTATGTATATTATGCTGAAGTTTGAAGTGGGGTTGTATTTCAGTCCTTAACTGTGGGAACTGTTGGTGTAAATTTATTTTTGATAAAAAGTCTGGATGTGTTTAATTTTATAGTTTTTCGGATCTGCACATTTTTGTTTGTTTTTGCACAAAAGTCATTTTAAAGGATTTGAAGTCTATCTGCCAAATATTAAAAAAAAGTTAATGGAGTGCAAAGCAGATAACTGATTTTTTAGTTAAAAGTTGCCATTACATCCTTTTTTTAAGAAGAAAAGAGATATATTAAGACACTGGGGAGAGATGGTGTTTAGAAATGCAAAGGGCAGTTATTTTCTGTGGTGCCTACACTGTAAAAATTACTTTTAACTCCTTTGTTTTAATTTTAAAGAAATGTTTGTTAAAAAAAACTTTCATCGCTATATAACTGAAACAATTAGAATTTATATCTGAAGAAAAAAAGTCTGGACATAGTTTTTGAACACAATAATGTTATGGATTAAATAAAATATTTTTATAAATGTAAAAGCAGCAAAAAAAGTTTGTAAATACAGTTGATCTGAAGCTTTACAAAATAACTGCATCACCGGACAGAAGTGTAAGCGCTCTTCCCTGTAGCTCTTAGTCCTGTAAATCTGTTTATAGATGAAGCTTCTTTCAGTGTTGTTTTGGGGGAGGGGGCAAGCCAGGGGCCACGGAAGGTTGAACCGTTTAAAAATAAATAAATAAATATTTAAGTTCCTTAATCTGCGGCAGGCAGTTCTCATTTGTGTGGTGCTTTGTCTTTAAAACTGCTATTCACGGGATCGAGGGAAAGGCTTTTTGTAATAATGCCCTCTCGCTCCCTCCATGTTTACTCATCAACTAAATCGTATCTCCAGAGAGTTTCACAGGATGATCAAGAATAGATTACTTATAATAGCAGAGACGTTTTCAGAGCAAGGGACTTCTTTATAAGCCAAGAATGCTGCTGCCTTTGCAACTTGCAGACAGTGAGCAATGAGCCACCAACAGGTTGCTGTCCAAAAATTTGTTCTGTTCTGTACGAAATCCTGAGCCCTTAAAACCCTTTTGAGAGGCACACTTTGGGCTTCCGCCCAGGCCGTTCTGCCTTTGCCCCCCGGAGGAGGACTACAGATGGAAGGCACTGCCAAGACAGCGTTTAGTGTCGGGGAGACTCTAAGGAAGAGGAGAGACCTGCTGGAAAGAATCGGCCAGTTGACAACACCCTGAAATTCTGGAGAGGCCTGAAGGGCTGAATGCTTGCTTGCTTCTCCCGATCCGTCTTGGGTATCGTCCCATACTTTCTGAAGCAGCAGTTGGTGCCTTGATGCAGAACAGGGACTCTGTCGTGTTTCCCAGAGACAAGCAGGCGTCTTAATTCTTCCAGGATACGGGTGCTTCCTGTCTAGATGGTACCACTTGCAATCCTCTTACCCAGCTATAGGACATAGTATCAAAATCCTTGGGAAGATTTGGAATAACTTTCAGCATTCATGACCCAAAAGTGAGTGACTAGCCTTGTAAAATACTTATGCCTTAAAGGTAGCCTGAGAATTGAATTAGGATTAAGATGTTGGCATAAGGTGTCTCCCCCTGCTCCCCTTACTGGAGACAGACTATAAAATAACTTCATGATGAATTAGGCCCCTAATCTGTCTTGTCCAGTATGGTGAGGACTCTGAACATCAGTGGCTCCAAGATTTCAGGCAGTTTTTCTAGTCCTCCTTCAAGATGCTAGGCTTTGAATTCCTTTCATATAAAACAGGTATACTGCTCTAGCAGCCCTTCCAATATCAGCCCAATGTTCCTTCCAGGTAAACTTCCAGGTTCCTTCCAGGTAAACTCCAGGAAAGGAGCAGTCCATTGTTTTCGGGACACAATTATTTGTGACAATAATTGGTGGCTTACAAAATGCTATGAGCGTGCCATTTTAAGTTCCATGTAGGGAGAAAGGAGTGCTTCCATTTATACTAAAATGGGGCTGCAGCTAAGCCTCCTTCATCCTTTTAAAAGCAGCTGGCTATTTCTGCCATAGCAAACTAATTCTCATCCACCCACTGCTTGCATGTCTTTCACAAAGAAAATAAAAAGATGTGACACTAAGAAGCTATAAGGAGATGTTGATCTACCTAGTTGGAAATGTGAGACATTCTCATAAATTCAATACAGGACTTTTAACAGATTTGCCACACAAGCACTAATGTGTGCTTCAGCACCAACAAAATCTGGACTGGGTCAAGGATTAGGACAACGTTCCTCTCCAGACTTTTCAATATTCTGACAGATAACACCAGATTCAGTTCCTCTTGAAGGCCAGAATTCTGTGCATTGGCACCTTCCAGAGTTTTAATCACACCTGCAGAAACAGCAAGATGCCACATGCCAAGGCCAAGGGCAGTGGCCAAGATCAACTTGGCTTAAGCAAGAGAACGACGTTTAAGTGAAATAATTGGATGCTCCCTGTGAAGTTCTTTCATCGATCCCACTGGTAGAGCGGCAAACCTCCTCGTCCTCACCCTCGAGCTGAAGGCTCCCCGACGACAGACGGACTCTCGCCCTCGGTGCTTTGACCACTCTGCCATAGAGGGAATAGTAATCTGGCAAGAAGTCTGAGTCAGAGTCGCTGGACTCGGTCCCACTCCCCACGTAGCGTTCAGATGTTCGCTGGACTCTGGGAGTTGGTGGAAAGCCTTGGTGAGCCAGGACATACTGCAGAATGTCAGCCTTCCTGCTGCTGAGGACAGGACATGGTCCCAGTGGACGGAACTCGGAGCCGTAGGGGAATCGGATGGTTTTCATGTCAGACTGACTCCACGATCTCTTAGGGATGTGTTCTTGAACCCCATGCCCAAAGACACTCCCATCATCCTCTTGCTCCATGCTGACGCTAGTAAGATAGCTTGTTCGAGGCAGGGGCTCTGGCTCGGTCAGTCTCATTCTTGATAGACTAGGGTTCCTCCTTTGAGGCTTTATGGGTGGCACTCCTAGGACGTTCACACCGCTTGCCATTTGTTCAGCCGGGCTCATCATTGCGTGCCTTGTAAACTGCAGCGGGGGCCTGTCTATGTAGAACAAGACTTGAGGGGAAACCATATCCAGTGGTTGGTTGACAGGAGCCATATAGGGCACATCGGTGTAAGCCAGCTGATGCCTGGGGTTCACCTCTCGCATGTTGCCCGCCGAGGTACTCTTACTGTTCCCAGAAAGCTTGTAACTAGGCTGGAAGGAGGTTAACGGGACCCTTTGGCCATAGACGGCTGGCTCCCAGTCCTGTTCCAGCTCTGTGTAGACTAGTGGGAAGATGGAGCTGCTTTGAGAATGGGCCAAGAGTGTTGGGTCATCCTCAGGCTTGGAGCGCTCCAGTTCGTCAGCAAAGGTCACATCCACTGCAGAGTTCCTCCGCCTGCTGTCTAGCGTGGGCTCTGAGGTGTGGACTCCGTTGGCACCATAGTAGGCCCCCATGCCGCCATAAACCAGCCGCAAGTCTTCCATCTAAGAGAGAAAGGTTAGAATCCTTGAATGCCAGTACTGACATAGCACATACATTTGCCGCATAAACAATGCTTAGGAGAATGGCATAGTTGACATGCCATGCTGCAATTTTTTATTCAGGGGGAAGAGGATTGTCATAGTTTGTAGGTGACACAATTGTAGGCACTTAACACTTTGGACCACATGCCATCTTGGCATAGAAAAATACACCTTGAAGGCTGTTCTACCTTCTAGTCCCATTATGCAGAGGAGAGCACTTTTCGAAGACTTGAAAGGGAGTCCTACAGAGGAAGGGCAGGATCTGTTCATGATCATCTCAGAGTGCAGGACACGTCATAATGGGCTCAAATTACAGGAAGCCAAATTTTGGTTGAAGACCAGGGGGGAAAAAACTTCTTAACTGTTAGAGCAGTACAACTATGGAACCAGTGACCTTGGGAGTGGATGAGCACTCCAACACTGGAAGCGTTCAAGAGAAAATTGGACATCCATCTGTCAAAGCTACCTTGATCTGGATTCCTACAAGGGGAAGGGAGTTGGGTCCAATGGCCTTAGAGGCCCCTTCCAACTCAATTATTCTATGATTCTATGAAAAGCTATTGAGTGGCACTCAAATTCCCCAGGTGTTTGAGAGCTGAGGTTCCCCAAAAGGTGACTTTTCCAGAATCTGGACAAAAATGAACTTTAATTGGCCACCCTTGGTACACAGTAACTTGTTCTTATTACAGGTGAAAGGGGCTGAAAAGTAACTGCCTGAAGAATGTGTAATGAATAACTTCCCACATTGCAATAACCACTTGCTTCTGTTTTGTGGCATTCTATATTATTGGGGGGGGGGAGAGGATTGATAAGAGAATAGCATAAAACACGAAAAACTACTCTGAAAAATGCCTCTAAAATGCATTAAAATATCCTTTAAGATACCTAGAAAAGTTATTAAGCAAACACATATTACTTTTTCAACCTAATACCCTCATTACCCACAAAACTAACTAGCCAAAGATAACTTTTGCTTATGACTAGTTACTTCCAAGTTGTGGGACCCTGTTGGCTAGCCTGTGGATTTGAAATTCTTGTTTTTATTTGTTTTCTGAACATGGTTCCTGCTTTTACGCCTGCCTCCTGCCCTGTTCCATCCCTTTCTACACATCATTCTGTTTCCAGACATACCTGTTTGGAAACGTCGGTCAGAAGGTCTGGTGATGAACGACACTGCCTGTCGTGGTATCGGGAGGGGTAGTGCTTTCTAAAATTAAAAATAATAACAAGGATGAGGATGAAGAACGACACAGCGATTGGATGTTTCTTAGAAAAGCACATCACAGCTCCGGCAAACTTAGCCGCACAAGGTGTTCAAAAACTCTTGGCTTGTTTTCTGCAGACCAGTCCAAAATGAGGCTAATTGGGAAAGGGAAATTTAAAAGAGCCCTAATCGATTTAGCACAGCAAACTGAAGGCACAACAACAAGAACTGTGAAAGTGTGCTTATTAAATCCAACAGATAGCAAAGGCTCAAGCTTAGGGAGTTTACCCTTGTTTAAATCATTTATCTCTGACAGAACTTCAAAAGTGCTGGCCCGTTGTAGCCCCCGGCCACCCCCTTAGGGGTTTGCCCCTGATGAAATTGTCAAGGCAAATCAGAAAGGCAATTAATCCACCCTTTGAATTAAGGAGCATTTTGGCACTGGCCCTCCCTACTTCTTGGATCTAGCCTATGAAGAACTTATTACCTGTACTTGGGAGTGAAAAACGTGGACGGCTTCAGACAATGGGAATGCATGAGTTTTAGGCCCTGGAATCTGACAGCATTTATATCCATAAATATCTGCCCACCAGGGTAGAGCTACATTTGAGACAAATCGACAGATCTATTTAAAATTAGACCTAAAACAGTCTTCCTTCAAAGGCCAATTTTAAGAACACTCTTGAAGACCGTTCACCATAATATGATCTTGGCCGCCCATCCAATGCTTAACTGGGATGAAGCCAGTTTGGCTTCCCTCGGGGACTAGATCCACAATTGTCCTACGACTACAGAGACATTTGGTGAACATACCTTTCAAATGGCAAGCTCTTCAGTTTGCCTTTCGCTCCGTGCTCCAGCAGCTGCCGTTGGGTCCTGCCACTGGCGTTGGAGAAACAGGAAACAACGTGAGTAGAGCCACAGCCTGTCCCCTCCCACTGCCAAAATCCACATCTCTTTATCCACGCTCCCCGTATGGTCTTGCTAGGCCCAGCTCAGAGTAGACCTACTGAATCAGTTGCTAGAAGGTGAGTCAACGCTTAGGTAAATCCCATGGATGACTTTATCCTTTTTGAGGCCAACTGAAAGATACTGGTCCATTGCATTGCATTGCATTGCATTGCATTGCATTGCATGTTGTTACACTACAAGCCCCTCAGTGACAGAAGCTGCTAAAAACAGAGGCTACCAATAAATTACAAGACTAAACTCAGTTAAACGTATCAGCCATTGATGTGGGTGGATAGATAAAAAGATGTCCAGCAGCAGAAAGCACACACACACAACCCGGCCTACCTTCAACCTTGAGGGGCTCCTATGGGGAGACCCAGTCCTAATGCATGTACAGTAACATATGAAGAGCTTTCTTGAAAAAAAAAATCATAATAGTTCTCTCATGTGTTTATGCTTTACAAAATGCAACAGGAACCTACTGTCTAAAATTTGACACATGGGATGTGTGAGAAGGAACACTGAAAAAGCAAAAATAATTAGCCCAAGAATGTACATATTTAGCTTCAGTTACATCAGGGCAGCTTTCTTGATGTCCTATGAAGGGGTGTGTTCCTAGCTTTCACCATCCCATAGACGGCATGGTTAATTTTAAAAAAAAAACAACAACAACTACCTGTATCGGAAACTAGAACCCTTGCTACACAGGAAGGCTTTGGGTTTTGACTTTGGCTCCTCGGAGAGTCGGAAGAAAGCATGGTATTCCACACACATCTTCCAGAAGGCTTTGCATATGTCCCGACTGGCCATGGTGAATTCCAGGGTATCCTTGCACAGGGTCTGAAGTCGGGGGGAAAGAGATGCGCAGTGGAAGGTCAGACCTCTTGCAAGCTCAGCTTTGGGGTTGTTGTTATTATTCATTTAGTACATTCACACGCCAACCTTTATTCAGGGAGAACAAAGCCGGTCCCTGGTTCATACTTCCCATTTTACTCGGGCAAGGGTCAAAGTGATCCTAAGAAAGTGGGGGGCCTTGGTCCCAACACGGTCTTCGTCAAGTGTCAAGAAAAACAGACAACCTCACCCCTATGCTTCTCAATGTTTACTATGGACATTCTGATGGGGTTAGCTACCCCGAATGCCCTTTTGATATTGCACATAATACCCCTGCACCTGTGGGGGATTGGTCCCAAGCCCCCTATAGATGCCGAAAACTGCAGATAAAAATAGTCCTTAAGTACTATTTGAACGCTATAACCCTACATCCCACTTTGCTTTCAATATTTATTTCTTTTAAAAAGCTGGGAGCCAGAGAAAGAAAGAAATTGGGTACTTACGGCGACATTCGCATGGAGCTTGATCAGGAAATGCTTCCGTTTGAAGCTCAGCTTGCGAATTTTGGACCAGTTGAATGTGTTGATCTTTGTGTTTCCCTGCAACAGACGACAAACGAACAGACCCACTGTGTGACGTTTTGTAACGGGAAATATCCGGGACTAGGAAGCTTTGGTGCTCCAATGTGGGGCCCGTTTTCTGTGGGGAGGGGAAATAATGCTCTCTTCCTGCATTTGCCGCTGAAAAGCAAGACCTCCCAAATGCTCCCAAAGTTTTTTAAATAGGCTAGAAATCAGATGTGTCAAGGCTCTTTATTGATTAAGTGCAAACCTTGGAAAATCTGCTGGTGATCATCAGGACCAAGAGATTTTCTGCCAACGTAATAACTTCCATAAACTCAAGTACCTTAAGTCGGTGGCCCCCAATCTTGGGCCTCCAGATGTTCTTGGACTTCAACTCCCAGAAATCCTGACCAGCAGAGGTGGTGGTGAAGGCTTCTGGGAGTTGTAGTCCAAGAACATCTGGAGGCCCAAGGTTGGGGTCCACTGCCTTAAGAGCTTGCTGATTACTCCAAAGCAACCTAGGAGTTGCTCCACCCCTGGCACTTTTCTGATGCTTTGGATTACAGCTTCCAACATCCCCATGCATTGGTTGGAGGGAGCTGGTGGCAGCTGAAATCTGAAACTTCTAGAGGGCTGAGGAACAAAATTTCACAGAACAATGGCTGAGGTCTCTGGCTGCGGAGCCAGAGATTGACAAGGGCTGGACTAGACAATCCAGAGGGCCCTTTCCAGCTCTGCAGTTCTAAGTTGTTGACGACAATGATTTTGTTGAATGCATTGGAAAATGTGATCTTTGAGGTCTCCTGCTAAAGATATCCTGGGTAGAAAGGGCCCAACATAGCTGAGTGAACCACTCTGGATTTTGCAAAACCAGGTACCAGGGACCGCTTGACGATTATGAGCAGTAGCAGTATTTGTATCTGTACTTTAATCAGTTTTATCGCTTAATTTTTTAAAATGTCTATTTTACTGTGATTTTAATTCTTTTCAAGACTGTGAGCTGCCTAGGGTCTATTATCAGGAGACAGGCAGCCTATAAATAAGACAGACGCATAAATAAAATAAAACACCTTCTCCACCATGTTTTCTGCAAAAGCTGATGAGCCTGGATGGATTGGGGATCAGGCTCAAGAAACCTGAGTTCGAATCCCTGCTTGGCTGGGGAAACTCCCTTGGGGGAAATGGTTAGCCACTCCTTGAGCATCTCACCCAACTCCAAAACTCTATTAAGACTGCCGTAGATTGGAAGCAACTTGGCAAAGCACGACAACAGTGACATGTTTGCAGGCTTAACTCGAGAGCGAGAGAGTCCAAGAAAACTCGCCTGAATTTTAACACTGCGTGAACTGTCATGATATCCAACCCCCCTTCTTTCCTGATCAGAGACTGTCCTTGTCACACGCCCACACGGTGCAGCAAACACTAAGTTAAAAGTATGGGTTTGTGCCACAAAAATGCGGCGGAGAGGCAGTACCTTGTAATTGTCTCGAACTTTGGCAGGCTATATTTGGCAGTAGATTATATGGTCAAGAGATGTCTCGCTACCGTGCAACACCAAGATCTGACATCGTAGCATTTTAGTTTACAAGGGCAAGACAGACGATGAGACACCCACATCAAAAGTGGTGGAAGAAGGGAGTGGATCCTCTTTTAGATTACACCAGGGTGAACCAAAAACGAGGAAGCGCCTGGGAGTGCTTGTATCCCACCCGTTGGAGGCTGAAGCTGTCAAAGCCAGGCACTGGGTTTTCAAAACTGAATTGTTATTTTCGCTCCTTTGCATTTCAGACCTATCAAGAACATTTCCTCCATAAGACAATTGCATTTTTTCATATTTAGCTTCCTGCCGTTTTGCAGTTGTAGCAGTAAAATGCACACTCAGCAATGCTGAGTTTTCAGTGACTCATGAAACATTTGTTTTGATTTCCCAAGAATACAACTATGTTTTTTTTAAAAAGGCTCTTAACACTTAACCCTTGATGACAAAATCTTAAACAGATGGTTCCCCTTGGGGAATAAAAGTTTGTTTAGAATTCTGTTGTGCTGAGACAGAGAGATTCATGAGCTATGAGATACAAATGACCAAGAAGTCTTTTCCTCCAAATCCCTCACCTTATGGTCAGGAAACTAAATAATGGGCAAACTGAAAGCAGGAAGCTTTCAATTAACATTGTAGAGGCTCCTTGCTGAACAGGACTCATTTCTGAATACGAAGCACAGAAAGATTAGGGTCACAAGGGAGGCACTGTGGGATCACGGTAGTACTATATTAGGCACAGCACATAACCAGAGTGTGGAAAAGTTACTTGCTTGGACTACCATTCCCAACATCCCCGACTGCTTCAGATGAGTAACTTTTCCAAGCCTACTGTCACAACTGGGTTAGCAGACGGAAGAAAGCAAAGCGCGCCACAACCTTGAAGAGCTCAGGCATAGACAATGTCATGGGTCAATCTAATTACCTTGCAAAATGTGGTCGGAGGAAACTCTTGTGCTTACCCGCAAAACCAGCACCCCCATATGAGTGACAGCCAAGTTGATCTGGGTCCCTTCCCCATCGCTGGCAGGATGAGGCCGAATCCCATACATTTCTAGCTTTCTTGCGATGTCCAGCAGCTGCACGTCTGACTCAGCTGGCGTTTTGCCCCTGGAAGTAATTATTATTATTATTTATATTGCGCTCCACATCAGAGTGCATTCCAGTAAAATCAGTAATATACCAAGATATAATATGTAACTAACTTAGGTGCTAGACATTGCACCTAGAAAGTAACTTTGTAAACTACTGGTCATATTACCTAAAAAGCAACTAGTTACAGGTAACACTGTGACTTGTAACTCTTTCTTCCCGAACCTCTGCTTCAATGTGGTTTCAAACAATGAAACAAGGAGGTTTCTGGAAATGACAGATTATGATCTGTAGTGGTTGGGGTGAACCTAGGTGGACCTTCAGCACTCAGATTACATCCTCATTCCCCACGATGAACATCAGCCAAAGATGTGATACAAAAAATAAGCTAAATGGTGCTTCGGAGATACTTCATTAGCCCACTATACTCAAGTTGCAGAATTCAGATTTTCTGCGTGCAGAATATGCAACGTTTTCAGGCCCTCGACGCAGAACCCAGAGCAATGCTTCGCTTCCTGGTATGGTGCTGGCCCATTTAAAAGGGGTGAGTGGTGAAAACCAGGACTTACCCATGTTTCTTATGATAATGCATGATCTTGTTCATCAGACACTCTTGGTTTGCCAAATATTTGTGCGTTTCCAAGTGCTTCCGGTCCGTTTCTTCATGAAAATCCCCCAGCGCAGCTGCAGTGTGAAGTCACACAGAATCAAAATTGCTTGGGAAGCCTCTTTAATGAAACCCTTGGAGACCTCCTCATTCACTTCTCTCCAACATTAACAGGCCTTCAGCTTTAAATGAAGGAAACAGCTAACGTCTGCCTCCAACCCAAGTTACTAGCCATCACTCAAGAGTTCAGAAATACGTATGAGTTTTCTTAATGATAACACCTATCACCTTTTGCAAAGAGCTTACTCACAGGCAGGATGTGGCAAATCTTGTAGCCTTTATTCATAGACAAACTTATCTGTAGCCATTATACGGGAAGAACCACTAATAGACTCTATCTACCCATCTTATATCCAGTCCAGTTTATCCAGTCATGTGCCTAAGGGCCAAGTTATAGGTTACAGAAAGCTCGTCAGTAGGTGAAGGGGTTCTTTAAGTGCTGAATGACACGGGATTGTCACAGCAGGAGCTTTTCAAACCCTCTCCCCACTTTGCAATTTAGCTTTCTTTCTTTTCTGATCGGACTCTTCCACAGTGGCACACAGGCTTTGTTGACAATCGCAATCACTTAAAGTCCACCCGAATCGCATCCCTGAAAGAATGGCAAAATTCAGCTTCTGTAACGTATCATTTGGCCCTCTCTTGGTGACCCCCCAGCCCATCTTGTGGAGGTGAGTTCCAGAGTTCAACCTTGCCTTACATACATTGCAGGAGGTGCGCAACCATCAGAGCCGAGCTGTTGTCACTGCAGGGAAGCCTTCCACACGCCAGATCCTTCTTGATTTGGAGGGTGAACAGGTACCTAAAAAAGCATTTCAGAGACAACAGTGGTACAAAGTTCTACTCGCATTCCACCTTAAATGAGATACAGGGTAAGTAAGAGCGCCCCCACCTTACCCTGCTCCTTAAGGGCTTTTAAATTACTTTTTCATTACCAGCTCCCTGCCATTCTACGATCCATAGTACATTGTTTGGTGTGCGTCCGATTTCACACAACACTAGTTACCTGTCCAAAAATCCGGGTTCTCGCCAACTGAACCCATGGCCTGGGTTCTTTACCAGTCGTACTAATCAGTGGGTGCTTACAACCCCATTGACAAAATTATGGGGTAAAATTTACAAGCTTCCAGAAAGTCAGAATGAAAGCTGGTTTATTTCTGTTGGCGAGAACTCATGTGCCAGGTGGCGGGGGGGGGAGCAGGGTGTTCAAATAACCAGTCTTGACAGACACCACCCCCAGTGTGGTTGGGGGGGGAGTCCCAGCATTGCAGCCCATCTGGAAGGTATGGAGATGGTGGTGGTCAGGAGGCCAAATGGTCCACACTAAGCAAATTTGCATGGATTAGCTTATTGCCAATCAGCTTTCTGTTTTAGCTAATACAATTCATTTCTTGCATTTATATACTGCCCCATTAAGTGCACTATTCTGGGCAGTTTATCCCAGTATAGGCAGTTAAAACAAAAGCATTGCTCTGGAATAATTCAAGGCACGGAAACCATGTTTCCTTATGACGGGATATCCCGGTAACGCCCTGCCCTGAATTTTTTTGGCCACTTCCTCCACTCATGCAGAGTATTCCCACCAGTCTGTCCAGGGGGATTCAGAATCACAGGGGCTAAAAATAAATAAAGAAATAAATGTGGAGTTATAACAAACAATATTTTGTACACTGATTAATTCGGTGCTCAGGATCAATCTCTGCCTCTCTTGCTGTGGGATCACAGAAGATGAATGAGAGACTTGTTGGCAAGTCTTTGGTCCCAAGTCTCAAGTCCCAAGTCTGAGTCTTTGGTCCCAAGTCTCAAGTCTGAGTCTTTGGTCCCAAGTCTCAAGTCTGAGTCTTTGGTCCCAAGTCTCAAGTCTGAGTCTTTGGTCCCAAGTCTCAAGTCTGAGTCTTTGGTCCCAAGTCTCAAGTCTGAGTCTTTGGTCCCAAGTCTCAAGTCTGAGTCTTTGGTCCCAAGTCTCAAGTCTGAGTCTTTGGTCCCAAGTCTCAAGTCTGAGTCTTTGGTCCCAAGTCTCAAGTCTGAGTCTTTGGTCCCAAGTCTCAAGTCTGAGTCTTTGGTCCCAAGTCTCAAGTCTGAGTCTTTGGTCCCAAGTCTCAAGTCTGAGTCTTTGGTCCCAAGTCTCAAGTCTGAGTCTTTGGTCCCAAGTCTCAAGTCTGAGTCTTTGGTCCCAAGTCTCAAGTCTGAGTCTTTGGTCCCAAGTCTCAAGTCTGAGTCTTTGGTCCCAAGTCTCAAGTCTGAGTCTTTGGTCCCAAGTCTCAAGTCTGAGTCTTTGGTCCCAAGTCTCAAGTCTGAGTCTTTGGTCCCAAGTCCCAAGTCCCTATTTAAAAACAAGCTTTTCCCCCCAGAAAAAAGGGAGGGAGTGGGTGGGTTCTGGGTTTTGAGTCAAGCCCAGATCGTTGGGAAAAAGCAAACAAAACCCAAGTGAGGTCTGAATTGAGTCACTGTCAAGTTGTCACTTTAAGGACAACTTGACAGAGAGTCCTACAACTTGAGTTCCCATCCCTGGGATTAACTAATGCAGCCCCTGTCCTCCCTTGTAAAGATTTGGCTCTGAATGTGGATTTTTATTACATTGCTTGGGAGGTTTATTAATTTTGTTTTTAAATGATGTACATGTCCCATGGCTTTGGGTAGCCTAGCACACCGCATTTAAAAGTCCTTTTGGAAATGACGGTGTTTGCACTCACAATACAGCGCTCGCAATCTGCCAGGAAAAAAAGCATTTCAAACCAAACCGGAGGTGTTCTCATTACAGCTGTACAGTAGGACTCCCTTATCCACGAATCAGTATCCACTGAGATCACAGTCTGAAAATATTTTTAATTTTTTAAAAAAATCCCAAAAGTATATATTTCTAACAATGACGTTACCAGAACTGGCCACTGGAGGAAGGTAGAAATCATGCTATATACAGCATTTGCTCTTACAATAGTGTTCACTACACTGCATTTTTTACCATTGGGGTGGGTGGGCTTGAACACAATCATCCATAGATACGGATATAATACTGTAATATCTCAAAAGTGACCAAAACAGAAGAGAACAAAGCAGGTTAGCTTAGATTTTGGACCAACGACTCAGGAGACTAAGGCGGTCAGTATTGAACATGGTCAGAAGTGAAACTGTCAAATTCATTAAAATAACAATAATAACAACAATAACAATAATTTTAAAATAATAATAATAATAACAATAACAATAATTCTTTACCAGAGACCTTATGGGGAGGGGAATGCCTGAACCGAGAAACAAAGAACAAAGAAGTAGCCATTGCAAAGTGTCCTACCTCGTTAGCTCTTCTTTCAGATGGCCCGGATCCACTGGGAAAAATTTCACCATAAATTTGAAAAGAATCTCCTTAGGATCTTAAAACACAACATCTTCATAAGTTTGGTTTCAAAAGTCTGCCGAGAACATTTACACAGCTCTTCATTTGCATAAGCCCCAAGAACAAGCTTTTCTGATCTGACATTTAAATTATTTTTATTAGTTTCCCATGCGAACAGGCCTCCCCGATTCCTCCATAGGGGCCCCATGCCAATTCTGTACCTCTCTGCGTTTCTAAACCCACCAGCCATGAGTCTTTCCCGTCCCATGATTTTTTCCCCTATTATTTCCTCTTCCTCTAAATGTGGCGAGGAAAAATTGGGGAAATTCTCCCACCCAGATGCCCTCTAGATGTGCCAGCCACGGATTATGGACATTGTAATCCTATGACACCAGAACACCAGATTAAGGAAGGCTGGTTGAAGGGTAAATCACACAGAGAGAAAACCAACAGGTTATTCCATTGGTTTACAACTCATGGTTGGAGATTTGTCATTAGGAATCTTCCATGCTTTGGTGGTGATGGGAAACTGATTTCCTGGATAATCAATAGATCACAAAATCCCCCAGCTACATGGTTGGTCACATTGGCCAGGAGATTCCAGAAGTTGTAGACCCTCCCCCAAAAAAGGCAATTCTCAAAGTTTTCAAGGCAGAATTACCTCCCAGCACTGTTTCAGCATAAGACAATACCACAGGTAAAGCTTCCCAGAACTATTTCAGCCTAAGACAATAACACAGGCCAAGCTTCCCAGTGTTATTTCAGCATAACACCACAGGGCAAGCTTCCCAGTGCTGTTTCAGCATAAGACAATACCACAGGTAAAGCTTCCCAGAACTATTTCAGCATAAGACAATACCACAGGTCAAGCTTCCCAGTGCTATTGATAAAAGTGGCCGTCCTGACTGTGAAATGCTAGGAGCTTAATGAGGTTTAAAAAAAGGGGATGTTTCCCAACAGAGAGGGCAATGACACCCCCTTCTCCTGCTTTTTGGTCCCATGGGGTTCAGCTACCTCTGCTCTTGGTCTGCTAGCCATTGGAGCACCGTTAGCAGCCACTGAGAGGTGCTGCGTACACAGAGGGTACTGCAGGAACAGACAATAAAATGAGATCAGCTAGTGGGATGATGACAACAGCTGCCACGGGAGTAAAGGAGAACACAGCAACAGCCTGGGCCAAGAAAAACCCAAGAGGTGTGGATTAACATTCTGAAAGTTCACAAGAATTTGTGCGTAATCCCCACAGTTCATCTTTCAGGGTCTACAACGTTTTTCTTTTCATCCTACATGCCGAAACAGACTTCACGGGGCTGCCTCTTGGACAGCTGTTATGTCTTTTCGTTCCAAGGCAAATAAATACAGCCAATGCTTACTTTTAATCTGTTTTGTGATGGGCTTGAGAAGTTCCAGCCAGGCCTGTAAGAACACACAAACACACACGGACAAAATAAGTTGTGGAACAGATCTTGGATCTCGAACTGTTTCTGACTGTACCTCCACGTGCAGGAAGCTGTCACGGAACTGGGGCTAGAGAATGTCATTTATTTATTTCTGGACTACGAGTCCCAGCGGCTGCCAGCCAGCATGGCCGTCACAAAGGCTGGGGATTCTGGGACGAGAATAAAAAGGGACTTGTACACCCACCAAAGCTGTAGGGCAAGAAGAGACCCTGCTTCCAGGATTTTAAGCATTTCTTACGGTTAAATTATCGTATAGGACAACCTTTAATCAAATAAATATATTTGCATATATATGATTCGCAATTTAAATAATTCTATTAGCACAGACCGTTCCATAATAAGAATAAAACTTTATTGCTTGAAGAAGACTCAAAAGGCTGAAGCAATATGTTTCAGAATAAAATGCACACTGTAATTTTTGCATCCTGGAGATTCTGGGAGTCATAGTCCGAAAAAGTCACCCTGCTGCCTAGGAGACTCTGGGAAAGGGTAGTTTCCATGTTGTGGATGGAAAGAAGGTGAATGACAGGTGCCATTTCGGGGGCGCTCTCCCACAGAAGCAAAGCATCGGTGGGAAAAGCCCTAGCTTTTGCAGAGCGATCTATTCATTTGCAAGAAGCCACAGGCCTGAATCCTAGGACTGACTTACAATTGTATAAGGGATGCCATGCCAGTTTCGGCAACAACTTGCTGCTTCTTAGCAAAGCGGGCGATTGCGTTTCTGAGCAAGTCAGGCGCACACCCAGGAATGTAATCAGCACGCTTCCTTAACAAGCAGCAATTTGCTGCCAAGATTGAACGCGATTTAGGCAAGCGTCAATCGGAAAACAGGATTCTAGCCATATTTTACCGGATGTGATTTGTTTTCCAAAATGCACTCTCTCGACATGCATTCTGAAAGGGTGGCCACTCACCCTACCCCCCCCCCACCCACCCACCCAAAGCCTTCACCTCCTCCTGCTCCTTTGCTCAGACCCGGCCTTTGGCAGGCAAACAATGCTGACGAGTTAATCGGCCTGCCACTGATGTATATTTATCACTGAATGATGTGCCTTGAATGGGATTCTCTGGGGAAGAAAAGCAGGCTTTCATCAGCCGGCAAAGATTCGCTGGTTTCGTTCTTTAGAGAGACAGTGCTGGGCTTTTCCTCCCCCATACCTAGGGCACTCCAGGGGCTTAATGAAGCACAGAGACATCAATGGCCTTCATTGTTATCTTGACAACACTGAAGGAGCCACTGATGCTCTGCACCACTTAGACAGCCGTTCACCCCACCTGGATCCTTCCCTCTGGAATGGGTCTGTTCGGTCAGGGCAGGTTTTTTTCCACCCATGGAAATGGAATGGAGGCCAACCCAACAAAATCCTGGCTCGGTCTGGGGTGCCCAAGACCTTTTCGAATGGAAGACAAATTGCTTTGCACGATGAGGTCAACAGCCAGCAGAGAATGTCTTTTCCTTGCAATGTTCAGTATTCCCCCAGCATTGGCTTAGAATGTTTGCTCTTTGTCATCCCCCCAACCAAGGTCTCCTGGGCCTCTTGCAAAACCCCAAACAGCTAACAAAATGGTCAAGTCATCGAAAAGCAGAAAGAAAACATTGGTGAGAAAACACACACCTATAGAAGGCAACAGCAGGTGAAAATAGAGATGTAAAGAAAATGTATTAAACCATCAGGAAGGGAAGACGTCTATCTGATACTTGTGAAACGATGGATGGATGGATGGATGGATGGATGGATGGATGGAAGGAAGGAAGGAAGGAAGGAAGGAAGGGAGAGGAGAGGAGAGGAGAGGAGAGGGATAACAGGAAACCCAAACAGCCACTTCCCAAGAAGACTTTCTTTGGTGGTGAAACTACAGTATTTAAACTAGAATGACTAGAGTGTTTTAGATTAAATAACTGTCTAGCGTGTCTTAAATCTTAAGACCGCACACGAGTGTCTTTAGTAGGCGGCACTCATGTGGCATCTTCTAAAGGGCCAATTCAACATGTTTAAGGGAATTGCTCTTAGGCCACTTACACTGTGCCCCGCAGAACTCCAAAACTCCAGCCCAAAATATTCCTTTTCTGTGAGGTTCAGGTGGCTGCAGCTCAGGTTGAACAAGGTCCTGCCAGATGATTTTTGCTATGGCGGGGGGTGGGGAGGAAGAAAGAAAGACAAAGTGAAGGGTAAGAGGTTGAAACACAATTATTTTGTTTCAGGACCAGTAGATCAGAGGTATCCAAATCTTAAATTATTTGCATTAAAACAGTTCTTAAATCCATTTGTTCAAAAATACAAGTGGCTATTTCATCAGACGTAATTCTCTCTCCGAACTCCAACCTCTCAGACACTCCTCAGCCCAAGGAGCCACAGCAAAAAATTATTTTCCACGGGGAAAGGAGAGGGGCTCGTTTGATGGTCGCCTGCATTTTTCCCATCACTTGCTGAGGTTCCACATTAAGCCAACATTTAAATAAACTAAAAAACAACAACAGTAAGCTACTGAGACCTCATGAAGATGATAATAATTAATTGTGTGCCGTCAAGACAATTCAGAGTTACAACAACTCTTGCCCCCCCCCCCAGGGTTCTCCAGGTAGAGAATATTCAGAAGTGGTTTACCATTCCTTTTTTTTTCTGGAGGGGGCCTTGGGATTGTGTCCAGCTGGCCCAAGGCCACCCAGGCTGGCTCTTCTCTCAGGAGGCCCAGTGAGGAATCAAACACCCAACCTCTGGCTCTGCAGCCAGAGACTGAAACCACTGAGCCGACAGCTCCACAGTCTAAGCCAGCAATGCTCATAAATCTCTTTCAATGCTCATAATGCCCAGCTGCCCCAGTTCACATGATGCACTGGAACCACTGCCTGGGAAGAAAGGGGCATAGGAGGAGCGGCGGTCTAGGCTGCTAGGAAAACGGGCTCTTCCTGGCATGCATCCGGCACACACCTGTCAGATTAACTTTGACTCCCGGAGAAATTGAGGGGTTGCTTGCACATCGTTTGTTGCGCTCAGCATGAAACGTCCACGCCAACACTTTCCAGATCATCCTTCCTTGTAATCGACGATCCTCAAATTGCTACCCTCGGCGCAAGAAAGCAGCTGGGAAGGGACAGCTTAATAACAGTACTCGCTGGAGGGCTGTCCCACTTTCCTTGCAAATGGCTGGATCACAAGGGCAATTAAAACAATTGCCATTGTTTATTCCTTCTGCACTATAATATTTGGGCACGGTGCCTTGAGGAATAAAACTGGAGATCTACAGAAACGGGTCCCTCCCAAGACTGTAATTTGATGGGTTCTTAAAGGAAGACAATAGGACTCTTGATCTACGTTTTGCATGGAAGGAAATTAGTTTCTCAAGTACGGAAATGGGAACTCTTTGGATAAATGGGCCTGCTTTATGATCACGGCAGCCCCAGAGGTCAGACAAAACATTCACAGTTCTTCTAGAATGCAAAATGGACCTTGATTTTTTTGTTCATTTCTTTCTTACCCATAGAATACTGCATACAACTTGAAGCTTACTTATATTATACATAGATGGACTTACTAAGCATTTCCCCTTAAGTCTGTGGTCTCCCACTCTCCCCTCCTGCCATTCTCTTGTTTTAGGTCCTGATTGACTTTTGCGATGTAATGTTCAAAAGTTTTTTAAAGGGCCTTTTAGAAATATTTGACAGCTTGTATGCCCTTCTTATAATCAGTCCTAAGTAGGAAGGGAATCATAAAAAAATGCTAGCTGGATAGCTCAATATTTCCATGATGCAATATCAGGATTGGTCACTAGGGGGAACCTGGGAATATTTCCCTTATTTTTCTGGTTTCTCAAATACTATAATGACAAGCCAATGTATTAATGAAAAATGCAGTGCAATTTACTACATGCATGATTAGGGCAACAATAATGACAGTAGCAACGTAGCTACCAAGACATTTTGAGTAATAGAACTAGTATCCTATTAGCATAACTAGTACCTTTTTTTAAAATGTCATGTTCTGACCCCTGCCTGCCATAGGTGAAATGCTAGTGAGTTCACTTGTTACAATTATTAAATAAATGGATCTAAAGGTGTTGTTCAGTCTGGAGTAAATGTGGAATAATGTCTGCTTGGGGTGCAACCATCACATCCATGTAAACGTCTTCAAAACAGCTCAGCCTCCTCTGTTCTTGGTAAAGGATGGTTTGGTTCCATTTTATTGGTCCTGAAATTGATCAGACATTAAAGAGAGAGAGAGAAAATCTCTGCTTGCATCCAAGCATTCTAATAAAAGTCAAGTCTCAGCTGCCTGAAATATCTTACAGACTGCAGCCCGAGGCAGTTTTTTTTAAAATTCCAGAAGATGCACTAAACCAGGTTCTCATTCATTGTGGCCATTCAGCCTCAAATGCATCCAATGCCTACAAGGGTTGGTGGTTTTGTTTTTGTTTTTGGAGGTTTTAAAAAGAAAGATCAAGCTGGGGGCTTAATGGAAATCCATTTGCTGAGAAAAGATGTCCTGTAGCTCTTAAGTGGTAGAGAGATCTTTGGCTAATGGGGAAAGCATGGAAGAAAAAGAAGGAAATCCACTGTTGCCAGAACCCACGTCATGAGCGTTCAAAATTCAGCACATTCACCACTGTAAGCACAACAGCACAATAAGAAGCTTTCTTTAAAAAAAAAAAACTTTCAACTTGGACCCAAATAAATTTGAAAACGGTTTTAACTCACAGCAATAACGCCATCCTGCCAAATCATGAGTTAAGTAACTTCTTTAAAAAGCCATTGTTTGGAAGAGCTGACAGGACACTCAAGTTAATTTTCCAGAAGTGATGTTGTGCATATTCCTTTTCTACAGCTCTGGATTGTATCTTGCAACTGCCTCGTCTTAAAAACAGAGCCCCACGTAGAAACACGGCGAGAGAACGGACAGGTTTCCCCAGATGCCACTTTTCATAGATTGCAGAAGAAAGGTGACGGAAATGCCTCCAGGAAATTTTAAAATAATTCACTCTCATCGCCCTACGCAGAACCCATTGGCTTGTCCACCCATGCAGGTAACTGGGTTTTGAAACATACACATTTTAGATCATGGAGCCAGTGAGGCAGCCTTTCCTATCCCCTCACTTTGTTGGTGAAGGACCACCGATGTCAACACATACACTCTCTCTCTAGCTAATAATAGTTTTCTTATAAACTGCCAAGCAACAGAGAACTAAATGTAAAGTGAGGTTTAAAAGAATTGATAAAGGAACTAAGAATGATGCAGTATTTTAAAGAAAACCCAAGATCCGCTGGAACATAGGTAGTAAACTATCTGTCTGCTTCTGGCTCCTTGTTTTAATAACAGTTGAGTGAGGCTGGCAAGGAAAGGTGACTTTGAAACCTATATCCTTGCCTTTTCAAACATGACGGGAGAAAAACAAAACAAAAACTCTACCTGGGACAACAACATTTTTTGCACAGACTAACCAAAACGTCACTAAACAGTGCATAAAATACAACAGAGATTTTTTTTTAAATTCCACTTCCCCCCTCATGGATCCATGCTTTTAAAATATCATTTGCTTTCCTACGTTGAAAGCCACATGAAAGTGTCGTAGCGCTTCCTTTGAAACAAACAACCCCCTTTTTTTTCCTCCCGAGCAATCTTGTAGTCAAAGAAGGCAACATAGCAAACATGATCACGGAGGCATTTCCCCCCTCACTAGCTAAAAACACAGCCCTTTGAGGTGGCGGGGGGGGGGAATTCTTCGGTATTATTCAAAAATTACTTTGCAGTACGCCTCGACAACTGGAGAAGTTCCACCAAGAGGCATTTCCCCCCTCGCTAGCTAAAAACACAGCCCTTTGAGGCCGGGGGGGGGGGGGGAGTTCTTTGGTATTATTCAAAAATTACTTTGCAGTAGCAAAGTCCGGCATGCCAGCTAGCTACGCCTCGACAACTGGAGAAGTTCCACCATCTAACCACAATTTCACTTGTGTAAAACAGCCAAAGTGCTACAAACGGTCCCCAAGCTGAGAAAGGTCAGAGAGCCTTCAGGATTCATGACACCAGACTAATAAAGAGACCGTCTACTCACGTCCACGACAAAGATCTTCTGGGAATCGTCCAAAAACTGGACCTTCAAATGTAGCATCCTTGGGCACACAGCTGAGTGGCTGCCAAGATCCGTATCCCACGGGATATGAGCAGGGGGGTGCCAGCCGCCTGGTTCATCCAGAATTTCAGCCTCCGCTGGGTGAGAACTGCTGGAGTTGCAAACGCAGGTTTGTTGCAAAGGAGGGCAAGCGGGAAAGGGCTGATGCCGAAGCACCACTACCGCCAACGCGGCCACCAAAGGACAATGGCAAGTCTTTCTTTCCAACGAAGGGCACTAAAAGGTTTGCCTTCCCCAGCGTTCCGGGTTCCTTCAATGCCGAGAGAATGCTTTGAGGGCAAAGGCTTAGAGACTGCAATTCACCGGGATTGCTCAGGATTTCAGACAATAACCCAGTTGCATCCCCATCGCTCTATATCTTAAAGCAAATGAAACTGAGTGATTTGAGACTTTAGAACATCGCGAGAGCCCTCTCTCTGCTATGAAAGGTTCACAGGGGTCTGCCTTCGAATTTTAAGATCATATCCCCATCCACTTTACAAGCTGTTCTGTTTTCTTCTTTAATTTCGAATCATGAGGACTAGTGCCACAGGAGTCTGCCTTTGAATTTTAAGACGTCTGATCATATCCCCATCCACTGTACAAGCTGTTCTGTTCTTTTCTTTAATTTCGAATCATGAGGACTAGTGTTGCTGTTGTTTAGTCATTAAGCCGTGTCCGACTCTTCGTGACCCCTTGGACCAGAGCACGCCAGGCCCTCCTGTCTTCCACTGGGTCAAATTCATGTTGGTTGCTTCAATGACTAATGCGGTAATATAAATCACATTAAATTCTAACAGTTGGGTCAATATGCTGCAACCAATTATTCAGTACTCTTCAATACATACTTTACGATAGCAAAATCCTGCATGCTAACATGACAACTGGAGAAATCCCACCGCCTTAGTGCAATTTCAATGTGCCGTAGTGTGGGCAGGGGTCATGTGTCTTTCTGCAGGAGAGTTGTAGATATCTGACACTGATTATTGCTAAGGGGGATGTAGTATGCTCAGTATGCAACATCTTGGTTACGTGTATTTTAATCCCTTCCCATCGGTGATGAGCGATACTTAAGTTTGGCCTTCATATCATTCAAGCAATGGGGCTGCATGCAGAGAGGAGAGTTGAAAGACACAAAGCGGGAATGAGGACTGCCCATCACACTGAGATGCGCACAGAAATGCATGCGCGGTTGTGTGTCACAGTTCTTGGCCATGCTGAACCCCCCACCTTATAAGACCGAAACGAGGAAGACTTGATGCATAGCAAAGTTGCCCCCCCTTGCTGAAATGGGACTCACCTATGGGTGGCAGTGGGAAAGCTGTCCCAATCTCATAAACATGGAGTTGAGGTGCAAGTTGTCCCATAGGATCCATCCTCTTTTCTGTTGGAAGAAGTCATGCCACCCAGCAGAAGGGAAAAGAACCACAGTGAACTTCCTTTAAAAGAGCACCATCTCCTGGCTATTTTGGAACATTAGACTACAATCCTAGTTTTGGAACATCAGACTACTGGCCTAATCAAACAGACAAAAGACAGTGCTGCAAACGGTTGGGCAAGCACACTCTTATCACCATGTTTTTGTAAATACTGGAACGGAACAGCTGTCCCACCCCAAAAAGCGCTAGGCAGTGCAACTATTGGGGAGGGATGCTGGAGGCTGCATTTCAAAGACTGAATTGACGGCATTTTCCTCGACTCTCTTGGAAAGAAGACATTTCAGGCGACACACCTAGACTGTTAATCTGTGCAGGAAAAATTCTTGGCTGTGATTCTCAGCATTCCTCACTATGAGCGGCGGTCCTTAGGACTTCCGGATTTGCATTCCCATAATTTCTGGAGGCCACAGTGTGTGGCTGCCCTACCTTTAAGGATCCAGTGCTTGTTTGTACTTGAGAAAAAATGCAGAGGACGGCCTTCTTCGATTCTGTTATCAGTCTACCACCCCCTCGTACATATGGTGCTCGACAAAGTAGACACTGGACAGGTGAGCAATGAGAGCAAAGGAGAGCAAGCCAGAGAAAAATCTGCTTGGAGTTGATGACCTGCACCTGGTTGCTACTTAGTCTAAGTCGAGTAGATCCACTAAATCAGTTCCAGAATTGGGAGTCTTTTACGCAGGGATGGGGACCCGAGTCGTGAGACTAGAGGCTAGCCAAAGGTCACCCAGGGTGCCACCTTGGGGGTGGGCATGGACGGCAATCTAATGTTTTCCCCCATCCAAGCCCAAAGACTGGCTTGCTGGCAAGGGAGAACTTCTGGGGTGTGTGGTCACCTGGTGCTTCCATTTCCCTTGCCCAGGATCTCCAGCAGAACAAGGAAACATTGACACCGTATTTCAGGTTTGAACAGCGATTCATTTTCTTGTGCACTTCCGCTTGGTGGGGCGTGGAGGCTTTTTCTGTGGTTAGTCATAGGCACGGCCACGGTGACTCAAAAGGCTGCACCCTAGACTTCCAACAGCTTCAAGCAACCCACGAAGCCCCTCTGGCTCTCTGCCCAGCCGTGCACTGGTCCCAAATCGTAGCCCTAAACCAACTTCACGGGGCTGTTGGATGGAGAAGGGCCAAACGTTTTGAACGAACTTGGTACGTTGTTCAACACTTGGACAAAAATCATGCTAAAGTAGTTTCTAAAAACAATTGTGATGGAATAAGATCTCTTCCTCTGTATTTCAGCTCTCCTATGTGAGATGAGCTGGCTTGATAGCTGTGGTTTAGGTCTATGGCTGTGGAGCCAGAAGTTGGAGGTTCGCTTCTTCACTGTGCCTCCTAGGAGAAGAGCCCTCCTCTGTGGCCTTGAGTAAGCTGCACAGTCCCCGGGCACCCCGAGAGGAAGGAAAAGCTTTCCATAAGTTGCATTGACTTGATGGCATATAATTATGAGCTGTCAACCCCGAGAGGAAGGAAAGGGTTTCCATAAGTTGCAACTGACTTGATGGCATATAATTATGAGCTGTCTGGGTAGCTCAGTGATTTCGGTAGAGGTTGGGAGTTCAATTCCCGGCTGTGCCTCCAGGGAGTGGCCACTCAGAGACCACTGGTAATGGCGTGGCTAAAAAAATTAAAATCTTGTAAATAAATAAATAATACATTTGTAGCTCAGCAGGACAAGATGCTCACACCACTTACAGGATGTATGTGTGAGATTCTCTGCCGAAAGCCCCCTCTGGCTCTGCTGGACTGGCAACGCACATAAAGGCACCCTGTATTATACAGAACGCAGAACTCCCACGTACTAAAACACCCACCCAGCTCATTTCACAACAAACAGAAAACATCACCATATGAGCAAAGCTTTGCCAGGAACGAACCGGTCGCACACAGCTTTGGTAATACAGGTATCTATTTTATTAAAAAAGTTACAAACAACTGTAGGGTTCTCTTACAAAGTAAGAATGAATCAAACAAGGGGTTTGTGTGTATGTTGGGGGGTGACGGTTTGTAAGTTTACAAAGCATTAGAGCATTGTCCCAATTTCGTATTGGATGGATTTCCAGAATTTTACCCTTTCACCAGTAAAACGTACAGTACATAGGAGACACTTAGGTATGATTTTTAGGTTCTTTCAGGCAAATGAGGGCTGTGAGTGGTGTCCACGCAAACATTTATTGATTGCCCCCCCCTTCTCCTGGAAAAAGAGTTCCTTCTCGATGAACAGCTGGGTTTATGTGCCTTAGGTAGGCAGTTCACTGGGGCGCATGGAAACGGAGCTGACGTGCCACTGATCAACCAAAAGGAACGGCCAGAACTTGCAAAAAAAGGGTGGTTTGGGGCTACCAACTCTCAAAATGCCCCAGACGGAAGCTGGGTTGGTTTGGGGCATTCTGGGAATTGTAAAATAAATAAATAAAAATGATTTTTCCCCCAAAGTGGTATAGGAAGGTCCTCCTTTCAGACTCATCTCTCCCACCTACCTTAATTCGACAAAGGGGTGAATAACCTGAGATCGTTTGAGGGATCCCCGGAAATGGGTTTTGCTTAAAGAGCCTCACCAAACTGTTTTGAACAAGACATGACGCCCCAGCCACCTCAAAATGCCCCAGACAGAAGCTGGGTTGGTTTGGGGCATTCTGGGAATTGTAAAATAAATAAATAAAAATGATTTTTCCCCCAAAGTGGTATAGGAAGGTCCTCCTTTCAGACTCATCTCTCCCACCTACCTTAATTCGACAAAGGGGTGAATAACCTGAGATCGTTTGAGGGATCCCCGGAAATGGGTTTTGCTTAAAGAGCCTCACCAAACTGTTTTGAACAAGACATGACGCCCCAGCCACCCGCATTCATGAATCTGAGGCACAGTAGCTCAGGAAACAGGCCAGACTGTACCGGGTAAACAGACAGGTAGAGAGACCCTTCTACCTGTATTCTGTGCTGTGTATGACAACACTTCTTAATAACTGTTTGGTCACTTATTCCAACTGGTTTTTACAAAAACATATGCTAGAGACAAATTGAACCTCCCAGTATTTTAAAAGACAAGGTTATCTCAGATTCGTTCTTAACGTTGAGAGTCTGTAGCCGATCAGTTTTTTTGGCTATTACAGGACCAACCCATCTCTATCAGAAGCATGTTCAAATGATTTAAGGTGGGCTCTTAACACCTCTCGTTATGGTGTAGCAAAACACATTACGGTTATTATTACAGGGGAGAGAAAATGGTTTTGGAGAACACCACTAGAAAAAAGCTCTAATTCTCACTAGAATTGTATCCAACTACAAACACTCTAACAATTCATATATTCCTCCTTCCGTCTTAAATTTGTGTTGCTGTTTAAATGTTTCAAGTATTCAGACAAAACAGGTAAACTCTCGAGAAGGCAAAGGCTGGATAGCGAGTTTGCACATGGAGTTACGGCTCTCACGCTGTTTACTGGAAACCAAAAGCAAGCGAGCAAGCCATCAAACTAACAGGCAGAGGCAGTGCAACAGAGCTCCAAAAATAAAGCTAAACTGATATTGCTTGAAAATATTATCAGGGGAAGAAAGCGTATTTAAGAACTAGAAAAAGGTAAGGGCTAGTTTTAATTTGGACTTGATTTACGCGTGCAGGTGTCCACCAGCCATCCTCTCGAATGACGAGCCCATAGTTGCTTTTGATTTAGAACACAAGTCCTCGGGGAGAGGTGAGAAAACGCCTTTGTCGTTCTCCCGAGAAAAAACACACAGCCAGAAACGGGACACCGATGGAGATGGGGCTGCCGATTTTGGAACATGACCCATCAGAGAGAAAACAAAGCCAAACCCAAGAGCTGAACATCATGTAATAACAGATAATACACATACATCTTCCAGAACGCCTCCTGTCCCAGTGACATAGCTTTCTATCTTCACACCAGATCAGTGACGCGCCACCACAGCTGGGACCCCAAAGAGAGGAGGTGGCTCAAAGTCCCTTTCTATGACACCATCACAGGTAAACAGAACATTTCCAAAGTTTCAACCAGTGACATTTGGGAGGAGAGGAAAACTCTCCCCCTCCCACCCTCCCCGCTGCTTCTTTTTGCAAATCAAGCATGGATGTGAGGTAATATACAGAAGTAACCATTTGTTTAAGGCTCACTTTTTATTCTCCATTTAAAATTTTCTTCTTTTTAAAAAGGCATTGAGTAGGTAATACTGAGTTTAAAGTTTAATAAATACAACTTCTGGAAATCAGTGAAAGAAACCATAATATTAAAAAAAAATCGAATTCTTGCATATTAGCCATTAATAGGAAATTAAAAAGCTATTTTAAAAAAAAAAACAAAACAAAACAGAGAGAGACAGGATCAAGAGATAAAGAAGAGATTCCAAAACGTTATGGTAAACATGCTAAGCTTTTCTGTCGCAGGCCGACGGATCTCCACAGCCACTCACTCTGCTGACCGCTTTTTTTCTTTTCTTTTCTTTTTGCACTCGATGCCTGGAAATGTGCTCTAAAGAGAGAAACAGGGTACTTTTTTTTTGTTTAAAGCAAGGCTCAGTTCTGCAGCCTGGGATGTAAAGGGTTCTCCAAAGCAGCATCTGTGCAAATTTTCCTCTGAGTTTTATCTGCAGTTAAGACAAAGAATTGGTGAGAGGCAGCATTTTGCTCCCTGGGAGACAACCAAGTTTGGCCAAAGTCCGCTCACCCACTTCCCGCCACCCACTTTTCTAGCAAGCGACTTTTTCTCCTTCCCTGCGCGGTCTCTTGGCTCCCTGTCTAACCGATTTTACCTGAGTCACAGGAAATTAATGAATTAAAAATATTTTTTGCCACGCCTTTCTCCTTAAAAGGACCAAAAGGCGCTCACAATAATTAAAATAAAAAGAGGTTGAAAAGCAAAAACCAGTAAGCACATTTTTTAAAAAAAAGGAATTAACCAAGTACCGTATTTTAAAAAGGTAAATAAAATCAATACTAAATACACATTTAAAAACAACAGAGCACAACAATCCATGGAAAAAGCCTCTCCCGGGCCACTTAGTCACGAAGGAACAGCCTGCTAAGGAAAAGAACGTTGGGTCTTATCCTGTTTTGAGATTGCCGGGCCATTTTGCTCAACACTGGCTGTGGCTCCGCAGAGTTTGAGGTGGGATTCTTTCTTCCGCTGTGTACGGACTTGGCATTGAACATGGGATATCCACCCACCCTCCCTTGTCACTCTCCCCAGCCTCTCGAGTTCTTCTGCTTTGTTCGAAAGCCTGCAAAATGGCCTTCAGCCATTCAGCGCTGAAGGCGGTGAAAGCCAGAAGGTGGTGCTTGCCTGTCTGTCTGTCTGTCTGTCTATGTCAGGGCTTGGCTGAGACACTATACAATCCTAGGAGCACAGTCCATGGGTCAAAGAAGAAAGGGTTTTAAGGAAAACAGTAAACTTAGAAAAGGATAGATGGGACTCTCTTTGGGATGTCACCCCAACACCCCAAGGCTTCAGAGGGAAGAAGAAAGACTTTCCTGATTAAGGAAAGAGGGGGGGCTGGGGAGCCGAGACCACCACAGGGAAAAACAGCTTTCTCTCCCCTCCTCATAGGCGCCAACCATTTCGATAGAATGGAACAAGAAGCGACCCAGCCCTTCATGAGAAGCAAAGCTTTGGATACAGGAGGGAGGGGGGAAAAACCCCTCTGCTATGTCACAGTCTCAGTTTTATTCCTCAGTTTCGACACCTGCTCTTAGGTGCAGGCATGCCCTCCGCAGCCGCCTTTAAAAACTCAAAAGCACCCTCGCTGACACATTTCCACAACTTTCATCACCTCTTGCCTTCTCTGAGCCAACAGGCCCCCTCCTGTTATGCAGAAGCACAGTTGGCACTGCCAGGAGCTCTCTCTCCTCCTCCTCCTCTTCACACGTTTCTATTTTTAAAATAATCTGCATGACTGAGAAGGAGTTCAGACGAGCTGACATACAGACGGTGCCCCCCGTGGGCTGATCAACACCCACGCTTAAGGAGGCTGAGAGGTCTGCAGCAGAGCTGGCAGGCTCCCTTTTGCTCTTCTAGACAATCATCTGACGCAACACGGCTGAGCAAACAAGTCAGAGGCAACCCCTGACACACACACAGACACACACAGAGGGAGAGGAAGAGAAAGAGAGACCAAACCACCAGATCTCCTTTTGATTAGACTTTTAAAAGTGCTAGGCACCCAAAGCAAGTGTCCTTGGGAGAAGCTCCCCTTAGCTTATCCAAAAGGGGTCTTCAAAGGGAAGCGGGAGCAAGCGTGCCTTCTGCTGCTCCAAAAGGCAGGACCCACACCAACGAATGGGTAAAAGGATGGGACATAAAATACTGGCACATCTCGGCAAGAAACTCTGAGACTTCCTCTCAACTAAGCCTTAGGAGTGGCATGTCAAGGTTTCAGAGCAGGGAAAAGCCTCACAAAAGCTGGGAAACCACCAAAGGATAAGTGTCATGGGGAAATCTCCAGAAGGGCCAGATCCAGGACTAGAGCCTGAAGTTCTGGCCTCGGAGCATGGACATCTAACTCCTGATTCAGCAGTGAACACAACCAGGCTGTGTTAGGCAAATAGTTACCTGTCCTATCAAAGGGGCTGCATCTTCTCCTCAAGCTCCTCGGCCACAAGACTGTGGCAAGAGGGACACACGAGCAAGACTCTCATTATTTAATTTTTTACGACCCAGACTGGCCCTCCAGGATATTCCGTCTACAGGATGCAGAGCGCCGACCAACCCCTAAGCTAGTAATCCCGCCACCTTCACTGTTTTTATTCAGTTTAACTGTTCTTATGTTCTATTTTAAGTTCAGAATATCTTTAAGTTATAACATCTTCCAGTTTTGTTTTCTGACTTATTTCAATGTGTATTTGTCATTTTATTGAACATTGCCAATTCTTGTTCTTATTTTTCTTGTGAACAGTGCAGAGTGGCCTTGGTAGCCTGATGGGCGGGATACAAATAAAATACGTAAAGCAGAATGAAATAAAACAAAACAGAATAGAAGAAAACCTAACAACCTGGAGAGAGCGGGGAGGGGGAGATACAACAGCAGCTGTTCTGTGTGCTTCAGACCGTCTACCGACCTGCTCTGTATGGCCATGATTGAGGTTTCACTTTCTCCCGTTTCACTGGACAACGCAGGTTGTACAACACTGGTCTTGCTTTTCGGGCAGAGACACATAGTTCATTTGCCTCATGATCTCTGCAAACAGTTCGTCCACCATGGTCTTGCTCTTGGCCGAGGTCTCCATGAAGGGGCAGCCCCACTCCTGGGCGAGCGCCCGGCCTTCTGCCGACAAGACCTCCCTCTCCGACTCCAGGTCGACTTTATTCCCCACCAGGATGAGGGGAACCTTCTCGTATCTCTTCACACGAACAATTTGGTCCCTCATTGGCTTGATGTCCTGAGGAAGAAATCGGGCCCATTAATGATCTTGGGAATGGCAGGAATTGAGAGGGTGTTTGGCTCACATCCAGCCTTTCTCGAGGACTCAAGGCGGTTTGCAAGAAAATTAAAATCACAGACTGGAAACTGGAAAATGTTCGTGATAAACCATTACACAAACGGTAGTGTTAAAGCACAATTAATCTGAAAATAAGTTTAAAGACTACACCAAATCAACCACCAAATAAAACAGACACACCAGTGAAGTATTCTCTACAGCAAGTCAGTTGTTGAATCAAAAGGTCTTTGCCTGCATGCAGAAAGAGAACGGCAAGGAGAAGACCAACAAAACCTTCTGGAGCCACCACCAGGAAGGCCCTCCCTCATGTCTCCCTCAAACATGGAGCAGACAGGACCAAGAAAAAGGTCAGCCAAGAGCTCAGGCAGGTTCATATGGTACAATAAGGTCTTTTCGACAGCCTGAACTGAAGCTGTATGTATAGATGGCAGTATATACGTTCAACAGCAAACCTAAATAAGTTTTGCAACAAATACACAGTCTACATGACACAATGCAAAGCCAGTTATAATGCGCAGGCACTAAGTGACAGTTTTCCTTTAAGGACAGCTATCAGACTAGCAGATTGAACGTCCAGGGAAGAAGGCAATTTATCTGTATCGTATCACCTATCTACAGTTAAAACAATCCACATCTTAAAAAGCATTCTTCACTAAGGCATGCCTCTGCCTAAAGGGGCATCATTTAGCGCTGAGACAATACAAGAGAGAAGAAAGGACACAAAGGAGGAATTATTGTAGCCTACTAAATACATGTGAGGCTTCCTACATTTGCTACCGGCCTGGGAGTGCAATAATAGGGGGCCTATCAAACATTTGGCAGGGTGAAAGCCATGGAGAGAACAGCCGCAAGCTGTGGAGATTTACATTCAACCTTAAAAAACCCCCAATATGAATATTTATTTACTGTATTCATGCAGGTGACTTAGTGTGCAACACTACTCTAAGCGATTTGCACATAAAAGCAATAACCCAAACATCCACAAACACAAATATACAAATTTTCTGCTCCTTACAAATGGTGTACACCTGTAAAAAGCCTGATAAGTCCTCCCCCCACCCCCCGGCCACTGCTTTGCACTTTTCTAAAACACAGAAGCCATTAAGTATTGAAAACTACAGTTATTAATGCCATCCCATCGGAAGGCTTCCACCTCCTTCCTTCTGATTAGCAACGGCAAGGTGGGGCAGGGGAAGCAGCCCCCCCCCCAAGCAGCTGAAGTCTAAAAGCGCACTGCTGGCCAGAGTGAAGGAGAGAAAAAGGCACTCAATTAGGGATCAAGAGCTTCTTAAAAGCTTTGTTGCTGCTGCAAAACGTAAGGGATGTCAAAGAGGGAAGAGGCACAAACAACGTGATAGAAAAGGAATGCCAAGGAGGAAAAAAAAAAACCTGGAACTGAGATAGCATTTATCACGCTCAGCATTCATAGATACAGGCTCAGCTTTTTAGCTCTTTGCGTGGGCGGAACTGCTCTGCCAAGAAGCTGGAATCCACCCAACTCAACAAGTTTGCTGGTGCCAGGAAGGAGGGCTTGCGCTGCTCAAAAGAAGCAGCTCTCGCTCTTTCCCATACATTCCTTTGCCTGCTCGCCCGGTCCTCTCACGTTTATTTTATGGATCTGAAATATCTGTAGCCCCCTTTCTTCCTTGAAAAGGACCGAAGGCAGCTTACAACAATGAAAGACAATGTTTACAGTTGAAAACAAGGAGTACACAATGACAGTTCACACCATTAAAAGACAATATCTCAAACTACAAAACAATGGAGGCATCTCACATCATTAACAGGCAATATTAACGCAAAGACCAATAAATATGCCATTTTTTAAAAACGTCACTCTGAGAAATGAAAAAGACAACAATGGAAAAACACAAGGCACAGTAAAAAATATCAAAGCGGTAATGCATGGCAGTCTAACTAAAAGTCACACACAGGTAGCGGGTTACTATGGGAAGGCTTCATGAAGATAAAGGTATCTGCTTGTTTGCTGAAGTACAGCAAAGATGGGGCCAGTCTGGCCTCCTGTGGGAGGATAGCACATTTAACCAGATGTCTTTCCCACATGCCAGCCTGTTTCTGTGTCACACTTTCCTTCCTCCTGCACAAATCACGGCTCCAGATGGACCCAGTTAGAACTAATACTCAAAGTAGCCAGGCTGAAACTGACGTATACAATTAAGGCACCCACATTTCTAAACTAAGCTATCACCGATATCACAGCTGGAAATGTAGAAAAGGGTGCCCGAGATAAAAAAGATGCTTGTTTGTGATCTGAACGTATTTTGAAATGGATGATGCATATGAGCTGGAAGCAATATAAAACAATATTTTCCCTTTTGCAACATTTAACATATCTTGGCACAGTTCATAAGCTGGTGTCAGCAACACAATTCACTACTACTCTTCCTGAACCAAACTCACTTTGGGAAAGAATCTGTGGACAATTTAAAAATAAATAAATCCATAGATGTATTCGCAAAGGCTTTCACGGCCAGGATCTAATGGTTGTTGTGGGTTTTTCGGGCTCTTTGGCCGTGTTCTGAAGGTTGTCCTTCCTAACGTTTCGCCAGTCTCTGTGGCCGGCATCTTCAGAGGACAGCACCCGAAAAACCCACAACAACCATTAAATCCATAAATCTCTCTCTTTTTTAGGTAACATATTTTTTTTGATTTAAAACAATCCTGTCAAATTCTGCACGAGTGCCTAGTTGCATTTTTAACAGGTAACACATTCACAGAATCACAGAATAAAGGAATTGGAAGGGGACTATTAGGCCATTAAGTCCAATCCCCTGCTCAATGCAAGAATTCTAATCCAAGCAGATCGGAAAGATGGTTAAGTTTCACCTGAATGCCTCCAATGCTGGAGCACTCACTGGACAGATGGTTGTCTAAGTTTAACCTGAATGCCTCCAATGCTGGAGCACTCACCATCTCCTAGGCAATGAGTTCCATTGTCATACTGTTCTAACAGTTAAGAAGTTTTTCCTGATATTAATCCAAAATCTGGCTTCCTGTAACTTGAGCCCATTATTGCATGTTCTGCGCTCTGGGATGGCTGAGAAGAGATCCCCTCCCTCCTTTGTACGACAACCTTTCACGTATTTTAAAAGTAATATCCCATCTCCCCTCATCTCCAAGGCAATGGGTTCCATTGTCATACTGTTCTAACAGTTAAGAAGTTTTTCCTGATATTAATCCAAAATCTGGCTTCCTGTAACTTGAGCCCATTATTGCATGTTCTGCGCTCTGGGATGGCTGAGAAGAGATCCCCTCCCTCCTTTGTACGACAACCTTTCACGTATTTTAAAAGTAATATCCCATCTCCCCTCAAATATTTTTTTTCTCAAGGTTGAACCTGCCCAGTTCTTTCAGCCTTTCCAAGTAGGGCTTGATTTCCACTCCCCTCATCATCCTTGCTGCCCTCCCTCTGAACTTGCTCCAGTTTATTGGCCAGCTGTATCTAATGCCTTTCCATCCATTCAAACAAATCAAAAGGGTTTTCAAAAGCGGAATTTATTACAAAGCGGTACTGATTACCTGGAAAGACTGTTGGTTGACCAAGCTGTAAACCAGGATGAACCCTTGGCCGTTCTTGATGTAAAGATCTCGCATGGATGCAAACTGCTCCGTCCCTGCGGTGTCTAAGATTTCAAGTACTGACGGGGAACAGTCCACTTCGATCTCCTTGCGGTAGAAGTCTTCGATGGTGGGGTCGTACTTCTCGATGAACCTCCCCGTGACGAACTGCACGGTCAGGGCCGACTTGCCCACCCCCCCACTCCCGAGAACCACAACTTTGTACTCCCTCATGGGCGCTGACTTCCCCTCCGCACAGCATAAAACAGGAATCCTGCAACCCGGGTGGGTGGCCGGCTGGTGCTGGGGAAGGACAAGGTGGCTCTGCAGACCGGGGGGGGGAGAGAACAGAAGAGAAACACGCTCAGCACCCAATTCTGCAACTTCTCCACTCAGGGACAAGACCTCCGTCCTGCATTAAGGGCAAGCATGTGTGTGTGTTGGGGAGAGCAAAGGCTGAGTTTGTGGCAAGACGTGTGTGTGTGTGTGTGAGAGAGAGAGAGAGAGAGGGGCCTTATTCCTTAGAAAAGGAAGAGGAACTCCTCGGGGATGTGTGTGTGTGTGTCTGGTTGCCTGGCTTTCCTGTGGGGGGTGGAGAGAGTGAGTTGCAGGCTCCCTGCCCAGGCAAGATGGGGGAGGCACAGACTGATGAGAGGGCCTGACTCTGTGGGATAGGATGGGG